AATTGTCTTATATTTCAGGCTGGTTTCACTGAGCTGACAAGTTCAGTGCTCATTCACACTTTGGGTTATGACATTTATTTTTTGCCCCTCTCAGTTTTCGGTCATGGAAATCTTTGATACGCAAAAAAAAAAAAACAAATCAAAAATCAAGTTGCTGAAATTGAAGGTTAGAAGGTCACTTCGATTCTGTTGCAACCCATTACCTCTGGGTGATCTTTTGATTGCATTTTGCCTGCCAGCATTAAAAGTTTTCTAGAGGTACCTGTTGATGTCAGTGTGTGAAGAGTTACTACAGAGTTCATTTGTAGTCTACGCAGGCCTTCTTGTTTCAGTTAGGAGAGTTTGCTTAACTCAAGATGGATATTATCAGCCTGAGTGTGCGTGCTTGAAGTTTCATAGTTACGAGGGATAGCCAAATGTGAATGTGACTTTGCTAACGAAAGGATACAAATACAATCGGATGAAATGCGGAGATTACATTGAAGTATGTGACTTGGATGTTTTCTTGGAGCAGTTTGCTATGATTTACCTTTCTTGTGTTTTCTTGCTTTTAGCCCAGGCTCTGTGTGTTTCAAACTCAGGAGTTAAGTATATCCTGTCAAGAGTTTTTGGATAAATGTCGGTGTTTGCCTCTAAAACGTTAGAACAGAATCTTTGTTGTCATTCATATTTCTTTCTATTTCAGTATTGTGCTGAACTGCGATCAGAACATCCTGTGTGAACAGACATTTTTCTCTAATTTAAAGTAATACTCAGTAGAACCCAGGTTTTTGATATGTTTTCAGACTGAAGCAGAGATGTGTTTGTTTTTTGTCGTTGATTTTGTACATGTGAATATATAAAAGCTGGAAGAACGGCAGCAAGCTTTGTTTGGCCCATTGCGTTAAAAATCTGAGCGTTATTTACACTGAAATATCTAATTGGTTTTGACATTTTGTATTATCAGGTTTTGTTCCAGTCTCATCAGCTGCTGTGGTGCATCTGCTCACATTGAAAACTGTTGGTGATTTAGAGAGAAAGTTGAACCAATTTTCATACCAGGAAATGTACAATTTGGTACTCATGTAAATACATAAAACCTTATTTTAAGATGGAAAAAGTAATGCCAACCAACATTTGGTTGAAGGGTAAGAATATTGACTGTTAATATTAAAAAGCAATGATTGTATTTCTGCCTAAACAGTTGGAGATAGTAAAGTAGGACAGATGTTGTTACGGTTTGTTAAAATAAAAAGATGCAGCCCCAAGCATGACGGTAATCTGTTACAGTCATGCTTGCACAGTGTTATAAGTGGTGAACCATCGTGTCATGTGAGTGTAAACACTAAACGCGCTGTAAGATCAGACTGTGCGTACAATTCGAAGTGCAGATTCTAAAAATGGGAGAAATGGCAGTGATTCACCATTTGAGCTGAGAGCAGGTACAAGTGTTGTTGTTTTTTTTCTTTTCTAAATGCAGTGCAGTGGCGTGTTGCTGATGTGTATAGCGTAGGGTTATTGACTGAGTGGATATGGGGTGACAGTCTCAGTGCTGCAGGTGAACACGAGGGTTGGTTTGGATTTAGTAAAGGCCGCTGATTTTCCCGAGCAGCAGTGAGAAAGGCTGATGACCTTTCCTTCTCCCTCTTCTGATCTCACCAAAATCACACATCTCATTCTGACACTAGGATTACTGGCTTTCTCTGCATTCATATCACACCTAGACGACCCCACACTTATGTATCTAGATGTATTTTAACTGGGTTCATTGTATTTTACTCATGTAAAACAGGCTACACGTGCAAGTGATACTAATGCACACCTGACTCCACCTGTGTTTTATATGACTTACAGTAGTTGTTCCGTTCGTGATTGTACCACACACTTACCTTATTTCTTACTCGCCACCTGAGTTGGTAGTGCTTTGTTAGGTTTAAGTGACACATTGCCTCTCTAAATTTCCACATTATTCCACCTTCTCCATGTGAACTGTTAGTTGCATGCCTTGTTGTTGCTGCTGCTCCAGCCACCTTCTTCCTCTCGCTGATTATTGCAGCTAGAGTGGGAGGGAGCCAAACTGAGCCCTTGCCCTGGACGTACGCCACACGCAGCTGTAGCGTGGGATGGGGAAAACAGCAGCGTTAGGCCTGAAACTGCTGTGGACGATGGGGTCTCCCCCCACTAAGGTAAACACTCAGACCACACACTCCTGCCCCTCCCCGAAAACACGCGTACACACTCACAGACACCCTCATGCACGCATACAGATACGGCCATATCCATACTTCCTACTCCTTACCTGTCTGCAGGGAGATTTATTTGTCAGGATTTCAGATTTTTGGAAATGGATCTCCTGTCCTTTTTTAACGGGAGATGACCCTTTTTCCTGCTTTTGATTCTCCCTACATTTCTCCCTCAAGCATTCTCTGCTCATACATTCCTGCTCCCAACATACTGACCGCTCACACACAGCAGATTTGGAGGACACGTATACCGTCTCGTAGTCTAGATCTGAACCCTTTCTGAAGCAGGCATGTTGTGTTAGTGCATCCCGTATCTAACAGCCTGTCATTCAAGAGTACCAGGCAATCACAGCCAGAGCTGGACGTGGGACATTTAGGTAGGATGAGTTGTTTTAGTTTATGTAAATGCACCCCTGGGGCCACTTCAGGGTTAAGTGCCTTGCGTAAGAGCACATCGGTAGGCCCTTCATTTCAGCGTTGAATAACCTGGCTCAGGATCGGTTGCTGGTTCGACGCTCGACTCCCCTTCTCCCCTAAAACGATTTTTGATGCCACATTCAACTTGTATGAATGACCATGAACACAAATATTATCATTTTGTTTTAAATTACATTTTGTCCTCTGTTCTTTGAAATGTTTAATTATCAATAAATGAATTTGAACTGAACTGCTGCTTCTCTGTGTGAATATTGATCATCAATCAGTGCGTGGGTACCAGCTAATCAATATATATTTCCTACTTTTAAAGTGTTTGTGGAGGAGTCACCAAATAACTTTAAGAGCTCAGCATCAGATGACGTTTTATTCCATTTTCTTCCAAAAACATCAACCTATGCTTCTCAAAAAAAAAAAAAAAAAAAAACCCAATAATTTGACAACAATCCAAACCTGTTGATAATTCACTTTGATTTACAAAAAAAGAAAATGAGAAGAAATCAAAGGTATGGAACCTCACTCCCTGCTAACGAAGACGTTTTCATGGACACTGCTGAGTTTCATGCCCTCAACAACAACGAACAGTTTACAGATGGACACTAGAGTACTGAATGGGTGTAGTGAAAGCAGTATACACAATACTGAGGGTATACTGAGGTAATATGGTGAGTAGGCCTATGTACCTAAATGGACAAAGGATGGAGCGTGAAACTGCATAGACATCATGAGCCTGTCACTGGCATAACGCCATGGAAATGCAGTTTCTGCTCTGATAACGCGCAAGTCTGGTTTCCAGCAGCCAGATTAGTCTGTGAAGTAGCTTCAGTGATGACTGCAAAGATCTAGTTTTTAGGGATCCCTGTCGAGTATCTGCAGACACATAAGTCAGTAGATAATGGTCTTGGGAGTCTTGCATTGTGGAAAATACTACAAGCAACCCACTGAGATTCACCTCCTGTCCTTTTTGTAAAGTTAGAGTGCAGGTAGAAGTGTGCGCTGACAACTTACGTAAATACTGGGATGGAAAACTCCTTTTCTAGTCTTTAAATAGACTTGTATGGAAAGGAAGGACAAACTGAATGTAAGAGAGAAAAATACTTTTTCTAACAGACTCACCTGTTGAGGCAGGTTTTCTCTAAGTCTGAGAAACTTGGATGAGGATCTTTAGGAAATCCAACCCCAGACTGAATACTACAACTTCTAGTTTGCCTTGCAGGGGAGAGGGAAATTGAGGATAGATAACTGTGTTATAAAAAATAAAGCTTAAAGAGACTTGACTGACTGACAGATGAATTTTGTCTGAAATTTTTACCCATCTGCACTTAAACAGGAGGGTTGAAAACTTGGTCACTGATCTCTAAACCCATGTCCAGGTCTGCACACTTTCTGGGCCTGGTTTGCTGAAATTGTTTCAAAATATAAGTTGAAGGTTCTGGTGAATCCAAGCCTGGTTTCAGGAAACCAGTCTGTGCTTTAAGAGGATGACTGGGAAAGAATAAGTCCAGTTGATGGCAACAGACAGGACAAGACTGGGCAAACACGTTAAAAACACCACACAATGTTGACCAGACCAAACACATATTACAGTACTTTGACTTTCATTCGCAACCTCCCATGATGCTGCTGGCATAGTATGAAAAAGGAGCGAGCATTCAAACACACGTATTGAAAATAGCAACGCTTTAATAAAGAGCGATTTTACAAGACTGCAATGTCTAGCTAGCTAGGTGATAACTGGCATTGACATCCATGGTGTTTTACAAAGATGCAGTTGTGGTAACTGAGTTTGAAGTTCGATGGGTTACTTGCAAGTTGCATTTCTGCATGCGAGGCGGCCTTCAAACAGTTACGGACCCTACATTGTAAAACAGTTGATTATGAATGTCAATGAACGTTCATGTCAAGAGGTAAGTAAAAAATCTCATGGAGAAATTTCCTTAACGTTTTCCAAACACACCGGTAAGTGAGAGTTCACACAATGGTCATGCTTTTACCGGGCACACAAGCCAATAAAAAGACAACACTTAATCATGCAAAAAAAGACAGTTTCTTTGTCTCTAAAAAATAAAAGAACAAAAAAAATCCTTTTGAGTTCTGATATCATCCATCCGTAGTGACCTTGAATAAGAAGAAGCTGCGCTTTGATGATGACTTTGGTGCAAAAAAATGTTCCTGTTTCGAAGAGGACAGACCCTGTCCTGTCCACTTCCTCGATGAAGACACTCTTGGTATAGACCAGTTGTGATAGTTTACCCTTGACCCACCCCCACAAACCCCACCCCCTTCCTCCTCGAGATGGACACAAACATCACAAACATCAAACCCACCCACCCATCCCTGGATGATGACACCTTCAAAATACAACCATTCAAACACAGATACAGCAATAAATTGTCCCACGTACAGTACGTCATCCAATGGGGCTTCGATCACTTTACAGAGAGAGCACGTCTAAAAACACATGAACGGCATTACCTATATACAGAGGACACAGTAACAGTCAGAGGTTGGCCCAGGATGGATTGAGCTGCGTCGTGGGAGTGAAGCGCACAATGAAAAGAGCATTCAGCTGACGGAGAAAGACAAACCACCGGGACGAGGAGTAATGGAGAGTGAAACAACAATTTTTCCAAAGGAGATAATCCAAATGTCAGCTGGCCTCTTGTTGAGAAACCTCAGAGAATATCTGCCTGCTTGGTGACGGTTTCTAACACTGAAGTCTCTGCTGGTAGTAGAGTCGTAGCTGCGGGGGGAGATTGGGTTTTTGCGTAGCCAGCAGTTACAGTTCAAGGTTGAATCATATCGCCACCATACAGTCGCAATTCTCTGATGATTTTCTGAGGAATCATGAGCGTGTGCAGCTCCAGCTGTCTGGAGAGGTTCGCCTCGGATTCACTTGGAGATTCCAGGTCCGATGACTTTGGGGCTTTTTTTCCTGTTTTTGCGTTTTTCAGCAGATGAGTTATCCTTGGAGCCACCTTAATTTTGATGTTGGGTTGTACAGACTGAGACACGGTCACAATAACACTCAACTGCTAAGTTAGTACACGCTACCAGCTCACTAGAGACCTTTCATCTCTAACTGAGGAACATGACCCTGTTTATCTCTATGGGAAGGCATGTGCACACAAACACACATACAGTACATGTACATAGAACAGACACAATCAATAGAAAACGACTTCATCCCCAATCAATTATTGCCCCTTTCAACTGTACATCCCAGCAATGATTTTAGGTTTTGTGCAGCAGAGCGTTGTCCCCTCTTCGAAGGTTTGTGCTATATATATTTATATATATATATCGTCTGTCTGTAGCTTGACCTTGGATCTGCCAGAAAAGCCACATTAACATTTAACGTCTCATTAAAGCCCCCCATCTCTGGCTGTCTGAATTAATCTGCATGTCGTCACTGCAGGCATTACTAGGGTCATGATCAACAGACATTACCCTCAGTCGCTTTACGACGGTCTGGTCCTCATTTGACTCCTCCAGCTGACCTTTAGCTGTCCTGTCCGTAAATGTTAGCACTACATTAGCGAACCCCTTTCTGTGGTAGCAGTGCCTTTAACTCCTCTAAGTCGAGGTGAGACATCTGCCGCGGTAATTACCTTCATCCAGTTTTTCTGGAGTGCAAAGGACTTCACAGGGGGCTCGTGTCGGACAGGACTAATGCTCAGGGCAGGGAGGAAATCACACAGTTGGGAGTTAGACCATTTCTGATTGGCAAAACTGAGAATCACGTCCTTGCTAATATCCACTTGCCTCTCTATCTGGCTCTCAGTGCATTTTTCACTACTTTTTAGAGCAGTACGGGTATAACAGAAGAGATTAGAAAACAATAAAACAGCATTCTGTACAGAAACCTGATGTGGACACACGACAACACTACAAACAGCTTTCTAAACAGCCTACAGATGGGTGGAAAAGACAGTAACGAGATTGCATGATATTGCACAGCTGTAGAGGAGGAAAACAAAAAGGAACAAAATACACAGTGTGTACAGCACGACCCCAAATAGCAAAGTTAGTGTACGAGGTTTGTTTACATCCAAATGCGATGCCTGGGTCTGGCTCAGTGCTTTCATCAGTTAGTTCCAGTGCAGTAACACATTGGTACCTGGCAACACAGTAATGACATCAGGTACCAAAAGAGAAACACGTAAAGTAAAGTACACACCCTACACAGCCACGTCCATCCACACACACGCACACGCACACACACACACACGCACACACCTGCAAATTATCGTTCCACGCCGGATTTTTGATGTGAAGTTGGCAATTAAGAACAAATGGAGCTCATAAAAAGACTCAAACGATAATGTCGATGCAGCACACTGAAATGTAGAAAAAGGGACACACGCATTCACACACTTCTGACATCAGGTGATGGATGACACGCAAACCAGGAACCAGTCTGAATAAGACGCTAAAATCACCTACACAGACATACACCCTTGGCAAAGTTCACATTGAGTAAAGTGCCAGCAAACAATCCAATCAGAGAAAGAGACGCGTGTCCTCCGAGTTTGAAGTGGGCAAGTTTTTATACAGGAAATTATCAGGATGAGGAGGTTGGGAAGTGGCAGTAGAGCTTCTGCACTTCCTCAGAGCTGTCATCACAGGTCATAATCGCCGTTTGAATTGGCGAATCAAACAGAGGATGAGTGGGGTTGATGCAGAGCCTCTGGTGCTCCATTCAAAGACAGAGAGATCAGTAGCCACATGGAGAGAGGAGAGGAGATTAGAGGGTGAGGCGACATGGAAACAGACATCAGCATTTCATCTTTCATCCGTCCTCTGGTCCTCTCCCCTCTTTCCTCTCCCCTCCCTTTTTCCTCTCTGTCTTCCTCTTTCTTCCTCCGGCACTGGATTTGGTTCTGGATTTGTTTTCTTCGACTCTTTCTCTCTCTCCATCTCTTTCCTCTCGCCTTCTCTCTCACGGCTTTGCTGCCATGGTTACAACATCATCCCTACATGAAGTGCATCTGCAGAGGACGGGGGGAGAATGGAGAGTAATTTAGTTCGACAAAACACCTCATCAAGTGTTCAGGCATCTACTGACAAGCATATTACCTGCCGCAGTGGCAGGAAAACAGCTTCTCAGGGGTGCGAGTGCTCAGCAGGCAATTATATTACTCTGTTATGTTTTGAATAATTGGTCAAAATATGCTTGTTTGTGCTCCTGAGAGGCTCGTGACAGACCAACTGATGATTACTGCCTGAGTAAAACACTTTCTTCACACTTGCTGGTCATTTATCTGACAGCATGATTCATCCTTCTTGTCTGAGGGTCAACAGCTTATCAGTCATCAAGAATAGCTCTGAATGAGTGCATCAGTTATTTCAGAGGACTTGCAGACAGGAGGCAGACATACAGGTAAAGGCATCCTTGGTTGTTTTTATGCCGTTATAGTTACGTATGAATTCAGGATGTCCTACTTTTATTTAGTCCACCCATTCTTTTAATGTGCCTTGTCTACTTCTGCTTCAGTTAGGAATTTCCTGCTTGCCAGAAAAGTGTTCAGTAGCCCCCAGATAACTGGCTATAGCTCCAGAGCTACTACTTTAAAGGGACAGTTCCCCCCAAAATCAAAAAGATATATTTTCCCTCTTACTGGTAGTACTGTTTATCTGTCTAGATTGTTTTGGTGTGAGTTGCAGAGTGTTGGAGATATCGGCTTTAGAGATGTTTGCCTTCTATTGAATATTATGGAACTAGATGGAACTCTGCTTGTGGTGCTCAAAGCGCAAAAACCCCCACGAAAGAATAATTTGAAAAACTCAACAGCAGTGTCTCAGAAATCATGCCCTGGTTACTCATGATAATCCACAGACCTTGATGTGAGCAGTTAAGAACTATTTTCTTTCCACACCTGCCAACCTTATCACCCCACAGAAGGAAGCATGCATCTACTCATGGCTGAGAAGCTTGTGACAGCGGGAGATTTAAACATTAATGGAGTCCAAGCGGCTGAGCTGTAATTTTAGCTAGTTCAGTGGTGCTAGGTGAGCTAGCAGTAGATGAACGCTTCCTTCTGTGCAGTGATCCGATTGGCGGGTGTACTTCAATAGACAGAAAATAGTTCCTACATGAAACTGCTCACAACAAGGTCTGTGGATTATCTTGAGTAACTCAGTCATGATTTCTGGAAAGAGACATATTTTTGGCACTTTGAGCCCCACAAGCCAAGTGCTATCTAGTTTCATTATATTGGAGAAAAGACAGACATCTCTATGGGTGATATCTCCAACACTAGTCAACTCACACCAAAACAATCTAGACTGATGAATGGCACTACGATTAAGAGGAAAAATATGTACTATTGATTTTGGTGTGAACTATTCCTTTAAAGTACACACTCCAAAGCAAAAAAGTGAGCAGCCCCACCATTCAATCCGATTTAAATTTGGATTGTTTCCCTCACACCCTTCCTCATTGTCTCCTAAACATGTCTACATTTATTGAAAGATAAATTTTGATGTCCACAGAGATATCTGAAAGTATTTGCCAGACAAGTGCCTTGTGTTTATGTATGCAAGTAGCCTAAATGAAAAGAGTTTCTGTAATAACACAGCTCTATAATTTGTCATGAATGTTTGGGATGAAGAAAAAGACACACAACTTAAGAAAAAAGCAGCATTTAAAAGGCAGAATATTAAGAAAATAGTTCAGCAGTTTGGAAAATGTGCTTATTTGCTTTCCTGCTGAGGGTTACACGAGAAGATTGATACCACAATATGAAGCTACAGCCAGTTAAATGTTGGCGAAGAGTCTCAGTCATCCAGGTCATGGTAATCTTCAGTGACTCTGTAAGTGTTCACACCCACACAGAGTCTAAAGCCTGTGACTCCACACCAGTCAATTAGAACTGAAGACGCCTCTTGGATAAGAGGTGAAACATCTTGAAGACACTCAAGCAAGTCCAGTTGCCTACGATATAGCACTTAAGATTAGAGCTAGTTATCTTAGCTTAGCATAAAGCAGTCTTACAGCATATTGAATAGACAAATATCAGAGTGGTATCAATCTGCTCATCCAACTCTCAGCATGAAAGCAAATGGCCATAGTTCCCAAAAAGTCAGATTCCTTTAACAACAATATGTGGCATATGCATTGTAATGTGGTGTGTGTGTGTTACCTGTGTCCCCGGGATGGGTCCAAAGGGATTGGTGGGTCTCAGGACAGGCTGGTTGTACATGACAGGCTGTGGGGGCATCATGGGAACGCCCCCCATCTGATGACTCATCTGAGGAGGGAGCTGCTCAGAGGACAGGTGGGAGAAACAAATATTTCAGATTCAGAGTAGATTAATGTCAGCAGAGTATGAATGTATGAATGTATCACTGAGATTAAAGCTGCTCTTTACCATTCCATACACAGGCACTTGGGGTGTCGTCATAGGAAAAGCCACTGGTGCGGGAGCCTGTACGGAGAGAAAGAGAGAAACACAATACACGACTCTCAGGCTGAGCTGCAGTCGTAATCTTGACCTGAAAGTTGATAACAAACCTAATCCTGATGCTGTCAGCCTCATGTCTAACCTGTCACAGATGTCCCCCCAAGCAAAGACAGGAATGTTTTGACATTCTTTAACATTTGCATTTGTTTGTGTATAGCTAATCCTGAGCAACAAAAAGACATGCAACGTTTAACAAAGTAGAATTGAGGTAGCAGATTGGCAGCCTGTAATAACCACAAGGGATGCAACAACAATGCCGAGGCAGTACAATAAGCAAAAGAATTCCCTCTTCCTCTGATAATTCGTGTATCGTCAACAATACAAACAGCCTAATAATAAAAGTGCCACAAGAATAGATTTTAAAAAAGCAAAGCAGAGAGGTTTTTGGAGGATGTCGGGATGAAATCAGGTGCACGCAGAGGAGTGAGGGGGAGGTGAAGTAAAGAAAAGTACTTACATAGCCAGTATAGATCATCCCATTCTGTGGAGAGTTACAGAAAAGAGGGTTACAACAATAAACGTCATGCTTGGGCCTTTTCTTTAAATGAGCAGAGGAGATAAACCAGACCTTTGCCCATTCCTCATGTTCAAATCACTTCTACTTTCTATTCACGGCGTGCCACCCGCTTTCCAAGCCATTTGCTGAATAAATGAGCGGTTTGAGTCGAGAGGTCAATCAGTCGAAAATTAGAAGATGAAACCAGATTGAATGGAAGAGACGCGTGGATAATTAGAGTGGAGCACAAAGGACAGACGCACATTTGGGAGCTCCTTCAAAAAGCCCTGAATGCAGCAGAAAGTTACATTTGGCCAACAGGTACATTTAATGAGTTTCATTCCAGAGTGAGATATCAGACTATTAGGAAAAACTGACTTCACTGACAGAATGATGGATGGCACCAAATTAATACATAATACAATGCTCCTTTAAAAAGATATCTACAAGAGCAGTGCAGCAGTGCTTCCCTGACAAAAAGGCCACATTTACAGACTTAACCCTTCATAATATAGAGACTTAAATGTCAGGCTGATTTTGTTTTTAATTTTCTATAGTTGTTTTGTAACTGCCATGGATGTTTTACTGAAAGAGACAATCAGGCACAGGTCCAGGGGCCGCCATGACCCTCGCCTGCAAAGTGTCACTTCAATTAACACATATTGACCGGAAAAACACTCCAAAATGACCTCAAAGAAACACTAAATAACCAAAAAATATACAAACTGACCACAAAGAGACACAAAAAGAATATGCCAAGAGACACAAAATGACCACAAAACACACAAAATGACCTCAAAGAGACACAAACCATCTACCAAGAGACACAAAATGACAGAGAAATACACAAAGTGATCACAAAGAAGCACAAAAAGAATATGCAAAGAGACACAAAAAGACCAACAGCTATGCAAAATGATCTCAAAGAGACACAAAACCATGTACCAAGAGACACAAAAATGACCAAAAAAATACAAATTGACCACAGGCACAAAATACCATAAAGAGACACAAAATGTCACCAAAAAAAACACAAAATGAACTCAATGAGACACAAAACATCTACTAAGAGACACAAAATGACTGAAAAATACATAAAATGACCAAAAAAGGCACAAAAAGAATATGCCAACAGACACAAAATGACCATGAAGAGACACAAAATGACCGAGAAACACACAAAATGACCACAAAGAGGCAAAAAAAGAATATGCAAAGAGACACAAAAGGACCAAAAAACACACACAATGATCTCAAAGTGACACAAAACATCTACACAATGACACAAAGCGACCGGAAAATACACAAAATGACCGGAAAGAGACACTGAACAACCAAAAAAATACACAAAATGACCTCAAAGAGAAACATAGTGACTACAAAGGGACCATTTTTTGTTAAGTAGACAAAATGACCGAAAAGAGACCTAGAAAGACCATGAAGAGACACAAAACAAACAAAAAAAACCCCTAAAATTAACTCAAAGAGACACAAAACAGCTACAAATGGACACAGAAAAAGAAAACACAAAGGAGACTTTAAAGGGGCCCATTGTCTCATTGCAGGAAAACATGCTGACTTTTGTAGATTAAAATATCATGTAATGAAACTCACTACACAGAGGGGTTTTTTTTCTCCTCCTAATGATACATTTCGGTACTAGTTGTTAATAATCAGTTGATAATGTAGAATATATCTTTACTGTCCAACGGGGGGAAATTTGTCTTCGGCCCACCAAACACAAGAAACAACAGCAGACAAACAATTTGAAAAACAAACATATAGACAAGGTCATATTCATGTTAAAAACAGTTCATGTGAGTGTCTGTCTGTGGCTTAAATCTCAGTCACTTTGTTGAGTTAAGAATATTGATGGCATTCGGGTTGAAGGACTTCTTAAATACATTTTTGGTTGCCAAAGTGAATCTGTAGCGCTTCCCGGAGCTCAAGAGCTCAAAGTGGCTGAAGAGAGGATGGGCGCTATCTGCCAGGATACTCCTCACTTTCTTGCTCATACTTGAAAAAAAAGTTTAGTCAAGGGCTTTTGGGCTTTGCTAACTATTTTGCTTGCCATTGATACAATCCTAGGAGGTTTATTCTCAGATCTACAGTTCGGTGATTGTACCGGGAAGGAAGGTGGAACTTCCAGTTCTAAAATCTACTGACTAACACAGAAGCCACTCAGTTTCTTGTGAGGATAGAGTCACTGTGAGCACCTCTTGAAAATATACTTATTTTCAAAGAAGCTCACTTTGGAGTCCAGAACTGTACCGAGGTTTTAAAGCTTTCCACAGTTTCGACATGTTGGTCACCAAGTGAAACTGGCTCTGTTTTAAGATCTTGTTTCTGCACATAATTCATTATTTCGTCCTGGTCCAATTAATTTCTAGCTGGCGAATGGGACACCATATTTGAAGGGCCTCGGTGTGCCCCAGATAGGCAACTTCACCTAATGGGTCTGTTTTCTGTAGAAGGTCAACTAAGGCCATGTCATCAGCATACTTAGACAATCTAAAATGTTTCTCGTGATCATATCATTGGTTAGAAGAGGAAGTAGCACAGGGGAAAGAATACAGCCTTGTGGGTAGGAGTCAGGAGTTGTTGGTTAAAATCAAATTTTAATATCTGGGAGCAAAAACTGAAATGTTATCCAATTTAAAGCTTTTCACTGTTTTATATCATTGTGAAATTAAAGGTCCCATATTGTAAAAGGTCTTCTTTAATATAAAACAGGCATGGGTCAAATTCATCAAAACACTCAATCTACAGAGAAATGCACATAGTCTGTATTCAGGAACTGTGCCTTTAAACAAGCCATCAAGACCTCTGTGAATTTGTGATGTCACAACTAGACTTCATAGACTGTTTCAAAATTAAATAATAAACATGGGTCCCTTTCTATTTCCTGTTGGAATGTTTTGCAGTGTATGTGAATGACATCAGCTGACAGGAAGTGAACATGGACCTAAGCTATTGGCTAATATAATTCTGGTGGTACAGTCTATAAAGGTAAAGAGTGCCGGTATAGTGTTGTTATAGTCATTTGCCGGCGGCAATGATGGTGCAGAGACACAGAGAGTGCAGATGAGGCTCCCTGGAAGTGTGCTGGGCTTTGAAGCCAATTTTTGTAGTGGCCAAACAGTGGTACTGCAATTTTTGGTGTTCATCATGTGATGCCATTGGGCCCAAAACGACTTTTTCTCATAGAGTTACATTGGGAAGGAGACGTCTGTAAATCAGTGGATACTTTTTTTTAAATGTCGCAATCGTGTCGAAATCACTCATTACATGTTAGCGGAGCGCTAAACCCGGAAGTCAGCCCCTTGGCCGGTAAGTTTCTAGTGCACCTGCTCTGTGGGCCCAATGATACGGAAGCATTGCTGATCATCTGTGTAATTTCATACTGCAGAAATAAAGGTTTTCTGGCTTCATGCACCACTGAGCAACTTTCATATGAATAAATACGGCCCCGCCGCCAATGCTGTATCCAGGTCTCTTAATACAGCCATACTACACATGTGGAAGACCTGGAAAAGCTGACCAAGACGAGCTGACTGGGCTTTTTCAGAAGAGAGGGCTTAAAGAGACAGGCACTAAAACAAGGGTGAATCCAGGTATTGTCAGGCAGCCAGTATGAGGAAATAAAGTGGGGTTTTTTTAACATTAAAACATGTAAACATGTTCCAGTAGAAACCCCAAATACAAGTATGAACCTGAAAATTAGCACACTATGGGACCTTTAATCTTTTTATTTTGATCTTTTATCTTTTTGTTGGCAGAGACACTATAGTACCTTTTCAATTTGTGATCCACCCTAACAAGCAGTGTGAAATATGTGCCTCTGTTGGGTGAAAGTCACACACAAAAGGCACAAATTGGCACTGTGCAGGTCAGGTTTTGGAGTGAACCCAATGATACTGGAGTAAATTGATGTCCTCATAACAAACAGGTGAGTGAATGAGCTGTGAATAAATCTGCATGCGCCACATGCAGTTCACAACAAAAGATTTTTTTTCCCCTGGAACTTGACGAGATGAATGTAGCCTTTAACTTACCATCTGAGGGACAGGCATGGGTGCAGGTGCCATGGGATGGGTGGTGTGAGTCCAGTTGGTGCTGGTGCACATGGTCTTTGACTGCCAGCCGCCCCCTCCTGTTGGCTTCTTCTCTACCAGCTGACTCCACTGGAGCTCTGGCCTGATGCATACACACAAACACAGACAGAGCGTTGTCAGGTGCACAGATGTTGCAAAAACCCAAAGACAAATAATGACAAATAAAGCTGGATAGACAGCTGAGTCATTTGCTTGTGGCTAAGTCTTAGATGTCAGAAAAACCCACTCACTTTTTAGCTGGCGTCCCCCCAAACTGCAGGTCTGAGAGAAGCAAACAAGAAACACATCAGCTAAAAGGAAGCAAAACAGCCGGAGAAGACGAACACGAAACATGAAAGCTGTGACTGAATCTTCAGAGGGAGACTCTGTATACTCACTACCAACGAGGTTGGCTAATGAAGAGTCCAAATCGTTGGGCAGCATTTTCCCAGAATGCAATGGGACTCCGGGACTGTGAATTTGAGCGGGTGGGGCTGGCTTTAGCAGGTCACCTGACATCCAAGGGTTACCATGGTAACATGAGAGGAGAAAAAGAGGGGGAAATGAGTCAAGAGCATGAAGCAACTGGGCATCATTGTCACAGCGTATCCAGCTCTGAGCAGTGCAGTGTGTGTATGAGTGGGCATTTATTTGCACGCTTCATTGTATGTTTGCATGATTATGTGTGTGTGTGTGTGTGTGTGTGTGTGTGTGTGTGTGGTTGTGTATGCAGTCCTACCTCCCCAGGCATTGTTATTGTTGGGCACAGTGTGTGTGGTCTGGATGGGGGTGAAGTTAGGCTGCAGGGTGAACAGCTCACTGGTCAGGTTTGGCACACTGCAGGAACGACAACGGAGAGCAGAGTTTTTTTTCTCCTCATTTTATGTTTATGTAACGAGAAAAGGCCATTTTAAAAAATCAGATTTATCATGACAGCCAAGCAAAAGGCTGCTTGCTGAAGAGTCCTTCTTTAACTTTGCCTTTCTGGCTTTAACACACAGCAGATGTTAGACTCACTGGTTGCTGACGGGTACGATTGGTGAGTTGGAGAAGAGATCCGTGGCCCCTCCGCTGCTGTTGGCACTGCCCACTGATTGGGTGCTGGGTGACACATTGGGTGTCTGAATGTCGATCACTTTATGACCGTCCTCCTGCAATGGGAAGCATCAACAGTATGACATATTCATGGTTTGTAAACAGCCCCGCAGCACACACAAATGGTGTTAACCTCTTTTGGAGAAACAACCACAAACAATGGAGCCATTTTAAATATTTGTATTCCTGGATGCTTCTTTATTTGAATGAAAAATCCACTGCAGAGGGTCTTGAGATTGTGACTTTATTGTCATTCTCTGTGTAGCTCTGTACGCTATGGGCCGGCAGCCAGAGACAGACAGTGTATTTCACTGTACCGCAGGACCAATGCACTTGTCCATTCAACTTCAACAACAGCGTGGAGGAGAGAAAGAAGTAAAGTACACTTCATGCAAGCTAAAGTGATTTCAGTCTGCTTTTCTCACTTAAAAGCAGAAACAGTAAGAAAAGATGTGTGCACTTGTAATGATTATATACTGTGGTTTCATTCAGCACAGTATTGTTGGTATGTATGAGCTGTCTAAATGTTAATAATGTCTTGCAGATATCTCGCCTTGTGTTGCTGCAGTCTGTTGTCTTCTGTCTTGTCTTCCATACGGCTGAGAGAGATCCCAGTGCTGGACAGAGAGGACACTGCACTGGACAAGGTGCTGGATCTGAGGGTGACACACACAAACATTTTTGCACAACTAGTTGCTATATTTCCTTGTTTTGCTTGTCTCTTTTTACTGCTCTTTTACTTTTTACTGAATCTTTACATGTTACAGTGTAGATTGTAACCTCTGCTTTTTTTTTTTTAACAAGACAAGAATCCACAGCCCCACAGAGCTAAACCTGCAACAAGATGATGCTCGATGAGATTCATCCTCTGGGGATCATGACTGTCTGCACCAAACGTCTCCACAATTAGAATGGAGACTGATTTTGCCATCCCCAAACATTGCTGCTAGCATGGTGAAAAAGTTTTCAAGCTGTAGTCATAGTTAAAGAAGTAATAGAATAGATAGTGTTCAAGAGTAGTGAACTACATGTAATTAAACTTGAACTAGAGGTTTAACTTTATTTTGCAGTAGCTAGCTGGTATTATAACTACGGCCATATTGGCATAGTGATTCCAGTAGTTAAATTACTTTTGCCATTTTTTTTTTGTAGTTAACTACTGAAATTACAATCTATTTCAGGTTATAAAAGGATTGATTTTTTTAATTCTTATTTTATAATTGCTTCCCTACTGTTAATGAGCTCCATTTGTCCACAATTAGTCATAATTAATTATTGCTATTTATTAACAATGTTCATAGAGGTTGTTGCATGCTATTTTAGAAGTTAGCTGGCTATCTAAGTAATCCTGTTTGGTGCAATACCCCACCTGGGCTCTAGTCTGTGAATGGCAGGTGTCTGACTGATAGACATTGTATACAAAACCAAAGATGACATTCTTTACACTTTCCAATGGATTGTGGGGTATTTTATGCTTTTCGTTTATGTATGATCTGTGAATAAGTGGGCACTATTTGCAACAAACTTCATTAAGTGGCATTTTTTGCTGGCATGTGGGTTTTTCTGTATTGTATTTTGTTATAATTTCATATCACATGTACATCGTCAATCAGTTAATTTAATTTTTTTGATATCTGTTTTTACGTTTTTCAATTTAGCATGAATCACAACCAATTCCCTCCAAAAAAACCCCAAACAAACAAACAAACAAAACTCAATATATAGACAAATCTCACAAAAACAGTGAGCCAAAAAAGTAGTTTGAACTAGGCCCAGTTTTCTTGTGTAGCTTTAATTAACCAAACTAGATTTCTCCCTCCAGTGTGAAGTAATTAGTAGCTCCCCAACACTGAGAATAAATCTTGCAGTTAATGACAATTAAACCATGTAAATGCACATTGGAATAAATTAAGAATGACGTCATTACTAGTTATGGTTGCATTATTGTACCTTGGCATAGTTTAAAAAAAAATATTTTGTTAATTTGGTTAACTCACCACCCCGCGAGCGCGCAAAACTGACGCAAGTTAAATGCTGCGTCATCAACAGGTGCATTATGGGTGTGGCTAGCGTTCAAACCGCTATTCATGCTAACGGTCATGGTGGGTCCTTCAGTGGTCATTTCTGCGTTCAGTGAGGAACTTTATACCTTCTGTGAGGTGTGTGAGGCCTTTGTGAGTGACAGAGAAGCTGAGTGAAGTGGTTATACTGGGACACAGAGGCTAAATGGACTGGTTACACTGGGACAGAGGCTAACTGAGCTAGTTATATTTTGCTTTGAGAATGAACGAGCAGAGTAGTGATAGTAAAACAGGTGAGTGTAACAACAACAAGCTAAGTGTTGTAACTACTCTGCTGTAATGTCTATGTGGAGATTTTATTGTTCAGCATCTCTGTGTTTGTCTGCTTTGGTGGTGTTTTATTCTGCTGCTGATCCTGTAAGAGGCCTCAGGCTGTTTAATTTGTGCCTTATTAATGCCTGTTGCACCCTCCTGGTCTGGTTTAGACTTTCTGTTCATTGTCGGTCATTTTTGTTTAATTGTCAGAGTGTTGTCGTCTTTTCTAGTTAATTGTAATTAGGCTACATTGGCAGCTAACGTAATGAGTTGCATTCACAGGCTGCAAAGTGTAGAAAATTAACTACTTGTTGGTTTGGTCATTAAGGCTCTGTGCTGTCGTGTTGCTCCACTATTGTTAATACGTTAATTTCTTTTTTTAATGTAATTCATTTTGCAGCCCTAAGGTGTTTTTTAATTTACAATTCAGTGGTATCATTCTGCTTATCATCACACAATTCAACTGACTCACTTTTTATCTGGGCACAACTTCTTCAAGGTAACAGTACTTTTACTTTACACGAATTTTTGTAAGGTATCCCAGATGATGAATAGACCTTTTCACAGCAAACAATTTGACGTGTCACAGTAGGAGCAGCACAGGTGTATTCAACAACATTAATGATAGCTGCATTCCACTTAGAGGAAGCCCTGGTATCATCCATGCTGGCTCACTGGAATAACTTACTGGGACACTAAATGGAAACGAGCCATCGTTAATGTTATCAGTTTCACCTGTGCTTTTCCTACTATGACAAATCAAAATGTCTGCTGTGACAAAGGTCCATCCTAGTGACTTCCTAAAGAGCTTCTTATACAAGGCAAGGGGAAGGGGGGCCCATAGAGAGCTGGGAGAAGAAATGGGCCTTGAGGGTGTTTCAGATTGCCTCCTCAAAAATACAACTGCACAGTGGCTTGTGAAAGTATTCACCCCCCTTCGCATTCTCTCTATTTTGTTGCCTTACAACCTGGATTTTAAAAGTTTTTTTTTTTTAGTATTATTATTATTGTGAAACAAACAAGAAATAAGACAAAAAAACAGAATATCTGAGCATGCATAAGTACTCATCCCCCCAAAGACAATACTTCATAGAGCCACCTTTTGCAACAAATACAGCTGCAAGTCTCTTCAGGTATGTCTCTATGAGCTTGGCACATCTAGCCACTGGAATTTCTGCCCATTCTTCACGGCAAACCTGCTCTAGCTTTGTCATTTTGGATGGGTTCCACTTGTGTACAGCAGTATTAAAGTCATACCACAGATTCTCAATTGGATTGAGGTCTGGGCTTTGACTGGGCCATTCCAGGACATTTAACTGTTTCTCCTTAAACCACAGAAGTGTTGTTTTAGCGGTGCGTTAAGAGTCATTGTCCTGCTTGAAGGTGAACCTCCATCCAGGTGTATGTATACTGAGATCATGTGGCACTTAGATTGCCCACAGGTGCAATTTTTATTTTTAATTTTTAATTTTAAGTCTGGCAACCTGTCCAGGGTGTACCCTGCCTCTCGCCCAATGTCAGCTGGGATAGGCTCCAGCCCCCCCGCGACCCTCAAGAGGATGAAGCGGTTAGAAGATGAATGAATGAATGAATGAATGAATTTTTAATTTTAATTTTATTTTTATTTACATATTTAACTAATTATGTGGCCTCTCAAGGTAATGGATGGGGCTTCACAGCAAAGAGGGTGAATACATATGCATGCACCGCTCTTCAGTTTTGTATACTTTAGAATTATTTAAAACCTCCAAAAAAAAAAAAAACATTTAACGTATTAATTTGTAGTATTTTGTGCAGGTCTGTTACATAAAATCAAATATAAAATCCATTTAAAGTCCAAGTTGTAAGGCAACAAAATAGAAAGAATACCAAGGTGGCTAATACTTTCGCAAGGCACTGTAATTACATAAGAAGTCATGTGAAACTTAAAGTTGTGCCTTTTGTTATTTATGCCCTCAAACAAGGCCAAGAAGTTCAAGTTGGTAGCAATCTATAGCAAAATTATATGTCTATTCTAAATAAACTATAAAAACTAAAAATAAAGTACATATTTAAAAAAAAAAAAAACACTACTCAATTAAATAAATAATTTCTTATTTTCTTTTGTATTTTTGTCAGGTATAAATTGATAAGCAGATGACTGCTGCGTGATGCATATGTTATTGCTATCCAATGTTATGTGATCATGTGACACAATGCTCGGATATATGGTTGCTAGTTCAAACTCAAAGTCTGGGACTAGGGCCTGTCATAGTAAGGTGCACTGGGGCTGGTCATGACTACCTTACGCCACTACTCTTACAGATTTAGTTTTTAGGAGAATTTGGTATATGGACATTAATGCAGGGCTATAGACTCTTAGTCTTGTTGTTAATCATTTGTTTTATAATAAAGTAGTACCATCAGTGTAACAGTAGTACTAACAGCAGCAGTACTTGTAGCAGCAATAGTACTTGTACTAGTAATAACAGTTATTGCAGTAAGATGGAACAGCAGTAATAGTGGCATTAAGTGGGTGGCGCAGAACATCTGAGTGTACCTGCTGGCAGTGGAGAGGTCCTTAAGCTTCCTGCCCTCCAGAGAGGCTAGATGCTGCTCCAGAGCCTCCAGGAGAGAGCTAGGAGCCTGGGGAGGGGGTAAATGGGAGGGGAGTCGATGGGGCAACATTAGAACCACAGCCAAGTGGACAAAATTGGAGACACTGCTTTCTCTCACACCCATCTCCTCACCTCCTCATATGATCTCACTCACTCACATACGCACACACACAAAGCAGCAGCAAAATTAAGACATCACCCTCAGATTCATTATCTACTCTACGACAGCTCTTTGAACTTTTTTTTTTTTTTTTTGCATTTGGTTTCATCAGGTTTGGTTGACCAGCATGCACACATCAGCCTTGGATCATGCAAGCGAGTCCACAGCGGGACTGACAGGTCAGGACAGAGCAGAGCATCGTCGCTGCAGGGCTCCAGAGTAGAAACACAACAAACACGTCTCTGGACCGTCTAACGAGCCCATGCAGAGGCCAGCAGTGCACAAACGCTCTCATTAACACACACACTTACGCACGCATACGTGTAAAGAAAATCACAGTCCAAAAAGTAAGAGTTAACTGGTGGATTCCATGTTAGGTTAAGAGTCAAATTAAGATATTATTTGTTTTATTTAGTTTGAAAATGAGGCAGCGGCTAAAGCTAAGTACCAAAATTTTACCCCACTGGAAGCCAAGGAAGTTAACTCATCGAAATGTAAACGTCTGGTGAAAAACCAGGTATACACATTGAGCAGCTGGACGGCACTCTTTATTGTAAAACAAAAAAAAGGATGGATGGGTTCATTTTGACCACATGTGATACCACGGTTTTCATCGAGAGCCTTACATTTCAGCACCAGAGAACACAACGCAAACACAACAAGCAAAGAAAAGATTTCTCATATACTTATTTTAAGGGGGAAAGAGAGTAAAATGCGAATTCTGGATATCCTTCTTCAGAGAAATCTAGAATATGCTAAAGGTTTAAAAGTAAAACAGACACATATCTAGTGCTCAGTATAGGCATGGGTCACTATGTTGTTGAATAAGGGCATATAAGGTCTTCATAAGCACTACAAACATGGCGCTAATTTTAAAAAGTCAGCCCTTTTCAGTTCGTCGCTGGAAATTTGTTGCATTATAAACATCCAATTATGGTTCTACTGAAAAGGATACTATGCATTTGGGGCCTTTAGCATGATATGCAGTGCTTATGATGGCATTATGTACACCTATCCAAGTCATATTTGCAGAGACCTATTTAATAAAAACCATTCGCTGCTCTCCCCACAGCTAATGCAAAGGGACATAATCTTTTCATGGGAAATGGTTTGAACACTGCTTATGTGGGCAAAAACCTATTTCATAAAGCTGTGCTGACTTATTTATTTGATAAGCCTTTGAATGAAGAGACAAGCCTTGATATTTACACTGGGAAAATGCCAGAAATACTGCTGGGGAAATTCAGACAGATAAAAAGCCCCGGTCATGGACATCTAAAATAGAAATATTCAAAAAGGAAGCTAAAAACTTTTGATATTCAGCTGCATAACTGCTGCTTTCAAACATCTTACCTTTTAAGAGTAAAATTTGTTCTGCAGTGATTCAGATATGGACAAAAAAATGTAATTCCTGCACTAATGATTGTGACAAATAAATGTGCTTCAAGGCTATTTGCAGGTCTTCATTTATTGTTTCCTCTCTATTCTAGACTCCGAGAGAAAAGGAGAAAAGGCAAAGGAGTTAAGGAGAGTGAAGAAGAGAGGAGGACAGGGCAGCTGCAGTGTGGGCAGGTCTGTAGGGTGAGTAGGGAACGGGAGCGTTTAGAATGAAGCATTATGGGATTGACTTGACGGATTTAAATACTGGTTGACTGACTGGTTGATTGACTGATTGAGATGAGATGTAGACTGACCTGTGTGAGATCGGGGCTGTCGCCCTGATCTATCCCAACTCGCTGTGTCACAAAAAAGGAGGGAGGGGGTAAGGGGAGGGAGGAGGGAGGCAAAATAAAAAAATAAACCAAATGTAATAATAAAACAAGGAATAAACCAAAAAACCCAACAGAGTAAAAAGAGGGAAGAGGCGTGTGAAGGAGGAAGAGGAGGAGGAGGAGGGAGAAAGAAGAATCAAACCCAAGCATTCATTACTTCATGCAGTGGCTGGAAAGGAAAACAAATAAAAGACAACAGAGGAGGAGGGGAGGAGGGCGCATGCACACGCATACGAACACCCATATATATAGATATATACACAGTATATGTACACACACACTTATAAGTACACTCACACGCACACACACACTGAGATCTGGAGACTGGTTTGAAATGAATGCTGAGCACACCGACTGATTGAACAGGCAGGGCAGAGAGGGCAGACAACAGGTCACGTGACGACTGCGAGGTAAGAAACATCCAAAAGGAAGACACTCAACTAATGTTGACTTTGAACAGAAAGAGAAGGGGGGGACACAGATGACACACAAACAGACAAACACACATTTTGTTAGACAGGTAAAATGAATGGGTCCTTAAAGTCAACGTTAGTCTGTTTTGTTTTGTTTTTCTTTGGATCGAGCGGCTGCACCCCAAACCTTCCTCCAAATGGGAACGAAACCAAGCAGAGAGAAAGCCTTTGAAGATGGCGCACGGGATAATGCTACGCAGGATAAAACTGTTTTATATTCACTGTGAAGCCTAGCAAGGACTGCAACTGTTATTAGGATAACAGCCATTATAGAGATTATATTTTTTAAAGGAAAGGGAGGAAATAAAATAAGAGGAAGAGGAGGACAGAGATAGTGATAGAAAAAGAGCTTGCTTGGGCATGCAGTGCAGGCATGTGAACAGGCAGCACGCGAGGGGTCCCTCAACTGGAAGCTCTACATGAGTGGCTCTCTGATAGGCTAGACATTAATCACTTGTCATGGAGTAACCCCCTCCCCAGGTCAGGGCAAGAGAAGGACAGAAACAGGAGGAACATCTAGAGGCAAAAAAAAGACTTGGAAGTTTAAGAGGAGCCCCTGGACGCTGATCTGCGGTCAGTTTTTAGGTTGGAAAATATCGACCGTAAATCAGATCCAAAGGGTAACAGAAGTCTGGAGCGAATCTCAACAGGTTTAAGTGTTTTTTTCTGCAGGTTTAATTACAGGACAAATATAGAAGAACGTGTTTATAGGAGAGGAGACTGTCGAGATTCGCCTCAGACAGATATTCTCGCCCTCTCCAGTGGCGCTCTGTGTGTCCTCCATTGAGGAGCAGCAGGACAAACGGACGTTACCTCTGCCACTTTGAGAAACTCGGACAGTTTGGTCATCCTGTTGAGGAACGTCTTGTAGAGCTCCAGAGCTTCTTTGCACTGGTTCTTCTTCATGTCAAAGTATTTTTCTGTGGATCAGAAGACCAGAATCAGCATAAGATCACTATTTATTCACAAATAAGGCAAAAGCACATGTTCAGTAAATCCTAAATTAGGATTTATAGCCCTCTGAGGTGCTAGATGAAAATGTTAGAAAGTGTATACAGTAAAACAAACTGCTTAAAAATCAATCTGCTGCTGATTTGTCCTGATGAGCCCTGCACATCAGGTGTACGTGCAGGCTGTAATAAATTCCACATAGAATCTGCCATATAACCATCGTTTAGATCAGATCAATTAAGTAATGAATCATTTAATGAACTCCTCACTGGAGAGTGCAATGGTCTGTTCCCAGCCACTCACTACTCACTAGCTTAATAATTAATGGAAGAAAAGAAGGTGATCTTTAATTGGACTTTTAGAGACAGTCAGAGGAAAAACAGATTTCCCCTCATAGAAGAATTGAGTGGAGTTACAGTCTTGTGATCTCAAAATCTGAAGCAGATTACGGTATTAATACAACTGTATCTGCTCGATTGTACAGGGTTCCCATGGTCATGGAAAACCTGGAAAAGTCAATGATGAAAAATGATGGAATTTTGGTCTGTGTAATTAAATTGTTCCTGTAATCTTCCATGGATCACCTTTCATATAATGTAAAATAAGTGCAAATTTATTGTCTGTAGCTGTTGGCATAACGTAGCTCCAATATCGATGTGTTAATGCCTGACGTTTGCCATCGCTTACACTATAAAATATTTGACTGTACATGTACACTAAATTACCGGCTACCAGTTGCGTTACTTCCACTGTTAATTACTGTGTCATTTTTACAGTAAATTGGTGTGAAATGACAGCTGTATGCTCCGTTAACATTACTACGTTTAACTGTAACCTCACAGTTAATGCCCATTACATTACTGTGATATAGCAGTGCGTTCCTGTAAATTACTGAATTTTACTGTAACTTCACAGTTTATGTACAATTGATTACCGTGATTTTTTTTTTTTTTATATATATATATACTTTATTAATCCCCGAGGGGATTTTTCACTCTGTTGTCAATTACACACAGGTCCGAACACACACATGCACAAACTGGACCTATACATGCACTAAGTGGAGAGATGTCAGAGTGGGCTGCCCATGACAGGTGCTCTGAGCGGTTGGGGGGTTCGGTGCCTTGCTCAGGGGCACCTCAGCAGTGCCCAGGAGGTGAACTGGCACCTCTCCAGCCACCAGTCCACGCTCCATATTTTTGGTCCGTACGGGGACTTGAACAGGTGACCCTCCGGTTCCCAACCCAAGTCCCTATGGACTGAGCTACTGCCGCCCCCGTATTGCATTTAGCAATATGCTCTTGTAGAATTACTGTATTTCACTGTAAACTCACAGTTAAACTACTTCTGTAAAATTATTATATTATTTACGTGCATGAATTTCACAAAAAAAATTGAATTTAGTTTCATATCACAGTAAAAGCCTGTGATGTGATAATAATGTAATGTATTGTTAAATGTCACAGTTACAAATTGTAACTTTCTGGAAATAATTTCCAGTGTATGTTTCTTCATTTTCTCCCGACGTTTCATCTCTCCCATGTATGAGAGTCAGGCAAGTGGGGACAGATAAATAATGTTGTGGCAGTGGGATTTAAAATTTAGGGCCATGAATCCTAAAGTTTTCATACCTACGCCTCCATGCTCTTTTTGAACTGCATCACATTTTTGAGATGAAGCAATTGATATAGGCATGTTAGGGTGTTAAATTGTCACTCGGAGTGCCAATGAGCACTTTGATTTTGTCTTAACTGCTCTGAAAGTGGCGCGTGATTGTTCAAAGATATGGAGTATTCTTATTTTTGATAAATTAACCAGCAGGCCAGCTAAATAGTCGGCTGTCATTCCCCCACTGTGGGTGCTCTGTTGCTTCATGTCCATGGACCATCTATAATATAATTGACATTTAGAGTAAAATATACACCTGTTATGTTCTGGTTATGCCATGAATGGTGCTGGAAAATTCTTTATAGGTCCTTGAATGTCATGGAAAATTTGTGAAATTTTGTCCATGAAAATGTGTGGGATTGTACAGTGTATATTGTTTACCCAGCATGTTGATGACCCCTTCGTTGTATGCCGCAAACAACCGTATGGAGTCTTTAAACAGCAACATGAAAGCTGTGTTGATCACTCCGTTAGTCAGCTCGTTGGAGTTGGGCTGGAGGAAAGAAAGAAACAGACTGTATCAAGACATTGCAGTGTTTTAAATACAAGTATTGTGTCTTTAAGTCGGGTGTTTACCTGGAAATCCAGCAGTGCATCCAGCTGGTTCTGAATGATGGGCAGAGTCTTAATCAACTTCTCTGTGTTCATGGTGCGCATCACGCCGTCAGCCCTGGTAACAGACAGGAATACATGCACACAGACACACATGCAACACACACACACACACAGGAGGACTCATCAGGCCTACAGACTGATGTGTGTGTATGTGTGTAAGGAGGTCCCACTGATACACGCTCCCAGTGTGGGTTAGCAGCAAGAAACACATCTAAAGTGAGACTGCGTTCATTTTGAAATAACATATTCTCCATCTTCTCAGTTCAGTACACTACAACCTGACCAGTAGCTTATAGTAGCTGATGTTAACTACACTGTAAGTTAACTATCTTTATAGGTGAAGCTCAGTTGGCTGACTTTATGACTCTCTGACTGACTCGCTATGACTTTATGAATGACTGTTGCTAGTTGCTGCTGTTCAACTAAATAGCAAATATGTTTAAACATGCATCTAGTGCCATCTGATGAAAAGTGGAAAACAATATTCACATCCTGTTGGGATAAAAAGGCCCATAATGCCCCCTCATATACAGAATCTGAGGTGTATGTTAGTAGTGTGTGTTGAGTTTGTTACCCTCTCTTCATCTTGGTGAAGTCCACTGCTGCTAGTCTGTAAGACATGGCTTTTTCATTCAGGTAGCGGCTGTAGCGTCTGATGAAAGTTGACATGTTATACCCTGGGGAGGCACAGAGGGGGCACTGCAGTTAGAGACTGGTCACCTTGGCCTATTTTCACTCCAGGTTAAGAAGCCATAATCCCTCTCATATGAAATGGACTAACTTCTCCATGAGCAATCTGCTTTTCTCCACACTGGCCCTCGCACTGTCTGACCTTGAGATTTATTTACTCATGGAGTTTTACTTTTGAATCTAACTAAAATGGCAGCCGGTCGATTTCTTGACAACTGTTCATCCAATCAGCTTCACACTTGGCAGGAGTATTGCTGAGGACCCAAGGAACTGCAGTGTTGAGTGCGACCTCTTGAGATCTACAGGATATATAAATAGTGTGTTATATACTTACGGTGTAGTGTATTGAGAGGGAACGTCTAATAGCTGTTACACCGCTGAACAGCATGCAGGGTACAGCTCGCTCTCTATTAACAGCAGATGAATTTAAAGAGATTGAAGGTGTCTCATTGTAACAAACTCAAACAATTTAAAAATCAGACATGTGCCTCTCAGAATGAACATTTTCGTTCCTGACAATAACCTGGTCCCAAGTAGCTAGCTGTTTGCAAATCATGCATATACACAGAGGTGCAGTGTTGAGTGTGAAGTAGGGCTCTACATTATGAGGAAGTTATGCAATAACTTTGTGAAATATCACAATAACGCCATCATTTGCAATAAACGGATATTAAAAGTGTAAACTGTTCTTGGCTAAGATTTACCCAGCTGTGCTTGTGCCATGTCATCTCTCCTGTTTCCAAAACATTTCCAGAGAGCTGATGTGCTATTTGTCTTTTTTCGGCACACGTGCCTCTCTGGCATTCTCACTTTCGTCTGCACTCTTGTCCCACTTTCCACCTACAGTATGGCAGCACTAGTCTAATAAAGCTCACTCGCATGTGTGCAGATTCTGCCCCGTCAGACGATGCCTGACGAAGAGGGCTCTGTCAAATTGGCCAGAGAATTGTAACTGCATGACGTGTATCAGACAAAATAGCGCCTATAAACAGAATTTAATTCAATATGTTGTTAACTGTATTCAAAGTGTAATATCACATCTTTTGCCATGTATTTATGGAAGCTGGTATGATAATAAAGAATTTTTATTGTGCAGCCATCATGTGAAGCTGTTTGCACGAGCAGGACTCAAGAAAGCTGTAAGCAGCAAGGCCAGGCAATCGACCCGTTCCGAAAAGGGATTGTTCTGAACGGGTACTGAGCCAGTATATTGAATTACAAAGTCAGTGAGCATGTGTTTCCATTTTCAGTAACATTCAGCAGCTTCTTGTATCAAACAAAGGGCACATTTATCTGTAGAGTTTCAATCCTGGACTGCAGCTTCCCTCTGAAATGGGCTTATTGATAGCGTTACAGATCCGGGGAGAGTCGGACATAAAGTCATTTTGTTAGACGTGCAGCACTGCTGAGTTTACAAACAGCCAAATGGCATTAAATCACCTTGTAGTGCAGCTTTATCTAGAAAGTTGTTGAGGTTGAAGAGCGTGTTTCTGGAGGCAAGGTACTGCATCAATCTCTGATGGAAAAAGGACAGAAGAAAGAGTTAGTGACATATCTGAGGTTCTCTGACAATGTCATGTCATGTCCATTCAGACACAGTAACAGTGTGTTTGTCTTGCAAGGAGAGGAGATCATTTGTAGACAGGAGTTGCAGCTTCATGAGCATATTTCTTGTCTCAAAGTCATGAAAGGGAAACTTTAACTTGCTCCGCTTGTTATTGAATGTCAAAGTTTACTATGATCCGATTCCAGAATCCTGTTTTAACAAGAACTACATTATTCTATAGAAATAAAGGTGCCAAATACATGGGGCACTAACTGTTTAAACTTAAAACATCACGTCACTACCCATGTTGCAAAAAACTTTCTAGTTTAAATACTTGGAGAGGGTCAGTGTACCCGCTGTAATCACTCTTTCTACTCTGAGATGCTCATCGTTTAACATGTTTGATGTTTTGGTTGCAGCTCCTGCAGTGTGAGCAAAGCGGAGTGAGGTGATTTGTCACACCGGCCATTGAAATGTCAGCGGGATACATCATCCGTCCTTGTTGGACACGTGGAAGATACGGCTTCAATGAAACTCGCTGCAAGAGTTGGAGAGAAATTGCTACATCCTGGTGAGCGAAATGTCAGTCTCTGGATAGATCGATGACTTGAGTGAGCCGATTGGCAATCAGTCTCTCATGTTTGTGTGTGCGTTTGGAGCTGCAGAGTAGGTTGTACAGGAAATGTCTTACTTTCATCCTTTCATATAGACTTTCCTGTGTGCTCTGCTCTGATGCTTCATTAATAGTTTATCATCTTGTGCGAGGCTGCAGCTCACATTAAATTATCAATAAATCTGTGAATTGTTTCCCCTCGACAATTAAGAGATTATCTAAATTGTTGCCGAATGGTTTTCTGTCCACTGACTAATGGAAAACTGACGAATCATCTCAGTGCTGATCGAGTGTGCTCATCCTGAAGCGGATATTCTGTAGCACATCACTCTTACTACCAACTGGACAAACCAATGCATGTAGGTGTAGGTGTGTTACAATGCATTAATCTGGATTGATTTATAGATTCAATGATCCAACATTATCCAAGCATAGATACATTTTGTCGTCTTTAAGATATGCCTTTATTTTGAAATTCCCATGATGTGTCACCAATTCCATCCAAGCTCACCTCCTTCCTAAACATTCAAACAGTGCTAGTGGCCTAGCACCAGGCAGATAATGCTAACGAGCCAAGAAAGGCACCGAGGATGTTTGCCGATATTGTCTCATATCAGTCACAGGCTACTGAGTTTAATCAAGTCAAAATCGCACCGTGGCAGACTTTGTGATATCAGCAAATATTGTGATGTTGTCCAATTAATTGATATCATACCGTATTGTGATGAAACGTGATTTACACCCCTTATATTCTGATGTAACTCTCAAATAACAAGAGTGATCTAAACTGACCCACGGCTGTCAAGATATGGTAGTTTTTGCTTCATAACTGTGTATCTGAAACAAATCAAGCTAAATCCCTTTATTATGAGAACAATATTTATGAATACATTTAAAGAATCATTTGTATTCTAAAAAGTTTTTTAACATTTTTGTTCTGTAGAGGCCACATAATACACTTTGATCTCATTCAAGCAGACTTTAATATCATCAGGGGTGATAAAGGTAGCAAAGATGCGAACCCTTCATGGGGGTCCAAGGTCTGAAATTATGTTAAAGTACAGTGTATTACATAGTAGCTAAAACTGTATGTGGTTTTTACTCTTTTCAGCTCTTGCTGCTGTTTGGTCAGTTAAAAGGCAGGGGTCAGATACAAAATTTATAAAAGGATTTCACAGCTGCTACAAATAAAAGAAAAACTGTCACCAGGTAATTTCAATTCAGCTCTTGTCATTTTCAGTGAGCTTGGCATTTGCCCCTTTCTCAAGCGACATAATTTAACTGCTGTAATGATCGTTGAATTCAACCACATCAAGTAACATATGTCGATTTTAGCTAAGCAAATGTGTTGTCTCATGATTCAGTCTCATGTCAAAATAACTCCAACAGACAATTGTTTAATTAAGTTGTGGTCGATATTATCTTGGCATAAAGAAAAGAAGACATGCATCTCGTAAAAACTGATCTGATCTGACCTATTTTGGATTCATTCACTGATTTTTGCTGAAAGGTGAAAAGTTTGCACTCCTGTGTCAAGGTGAAAAACCACTTCTGAGTCATTATGAGAATTTGAAAAAACAACCATCTTTGTCCTCTCTGGGCTTCCATATGTTGGTGTGCTCAGCTCACCTCGTTGCCGTACATCATGAGGTGGTGTGTGGTGATGAGCGCTTTGAAAACCACTATCCAGCTGTTGCTGGCTGTGCGCTCCAGCAGTGTGTCTGCCAGGTGAGGGATGCTGACGTTCAGCTCATTGGTGCAGTGGATCAGGTCTGGGGAGACAAAACATAGCATGGAAGAATCTGAGCATGCAGAGAAAACTGTAAAAGAATAAACCAATAATTAGCAGAGCAAAGACTTTAAGAACAGACATGTGGCCAAGAGGTAAGAGATCATTTGTAAAGTCGCAGGTTTGACTTCTATCTACCTGCCTGTTCCCTCAGTGTAAGTCACTGGATAAAAGCAGCAGCCACATGCCAATATTATAATTTATAACCTGAGAGAGCTTACAGGTTGAGTTATTAAGAATCGATAGAATGAATAAACGGCCACGATGAATGCAGTCTTATTGACTGATGCATTAATTTTGACTCACTCAATATCAGCACACAAGTCAATAAACAAATAATTATTTAATGATACAGACTGTATGGACGGATGAATCAGAACCAGGGCTGGTTTATCACAAAATCTATTTTGTGGCTGCAGTTCAACGGTGCTACATACTTACTCCAACAAAACGCCAATAAAATATCAACTCAAAAGATGGAATGTTGCTTTCCAAGGTCAATTCAACATCAGTGAGGGATGGATACTGCTTTTTAAAGACTGTGAGATGAATAGCCTGACGGTGAATAATGAATCAGAGTTTTCTTCCAGAGGATCTTTGTTAGCAGTGATGGACTAAAACTGAGTTCACTCCAATGTTTGCCCACTGAGACTCGCCTCCGGAGTGTAAATTGTCTGTTCAAAGCAAATGTGGAACACATTTCAAAAGGAAAAATGGCTCAGTGTTCTGCTGCATGTCGGATTTAAAAGGTCCGACAAATGGCAAGCTGAGCGTGTGTTTTTTAAATGAAGATCTGCCAAGTTAACTCGAGAACAGAATCCATCTTTTAAAGCAACAGAGTTTTCAGTTTTATATTTACAGTGATGCGTCCTAAAAAATAATAGGTCATTCAAAATTCAGCAGTGAATGCTTGACGATCAACCAGTGGAACAATGCCCTAAATTCTTGAAGGATTTCTCTGGCTAAAGATCAAAATGTGAAGTATGTTCGGCTTCTGTTTAATCTCAGAGATTTACGGACCCCCTCGTTAAAGAACCAAGCTTTCAGTAGCAGAAACATGCTTCATTCTTATGTGCTTATTCAGCTGTGATTCAGTTGGATTACTACAAAGAAAAGCTTGTTAATATCTTCAGTGGCAAAGATAATTATTTCTCTAAACTTGACCTTGTGTGTTTTACAGTAAAACCCTTTGTTTAAATGGACTTTTACTGCAGAGCTGCTCCATGCAGTCTGTCCAGTGACATTTATCACAAAGTTTAAGATCTTTTCCTGGAAAAATCAATTACATTTATTTCAGTATTTTGCTCTAAAAGTCCATGTTCAGACTCATAAACACAATGTTCCCTGTTTTACTGTAAAAACTTGAGATAGTGCAGATTATTTAAAACCCAAACAGGAACAGGACCTGAGCTAATGTTGTGTGAACCACATATCGTATTTAGTGAAGGAACACTGGAACAAAGTGACACAATAACATAAAAGAATTAATCACTCACAAATATGATCACATGACATGAAAAGAATCAAGTTGAGAAGTGATGGTACTTGAGTTTGACAGCAGAGCACAGCAGGGTAAAGAACAGCACATCAACACGTGATGGCAAATAAAGGGACTAAATTAAAAAGGCAGATTCAGTGAGTGAAACCGCTGGGGGAGTAAGCCGAAGTGAACTTGCACTCAAAGACAGACAGAGGAGAGATTTTCCGCTGAGTTACTGTGAGAAAATTTCAAGCACGGTTCGGTTTCTGAGGCAAATCCGGGGTCTGTTTCTTCCACAGGATCAGAGGTTATCAGGGTTTATTTCAAAGCTCTGTGATGTTTTCTGCGCCCACTGAAACGCTGGATACCAAAGAGTCCCAGTTGATACCACTGTTAAATGTTTGAAGCATGTCAAAGGCACCGAAGCACCCACAGTTCACCGCAGCTAATGCTCCAATCCTGTTCATCTTAACTTTATTTTATGTTATTTTGGAGTGTGAAAACCTCAGCAAGGCAGCTGGTAATAACTAACAATATTGATTAAAGTCTTCAACGACTCGTCGAACTTTGCCTGCCATGACTGTCAGACTCTCTGCTGCAATAGCGTCATGACATTTAGTCCCCTGTATTAGGGCCAAATATAAAGATCTGTGTAACTCCAAAATCTGAAAGTTGAAAGTGAAACATTTTGAATAAATATCCATGAATAGCAATGCTAACGTCATAAAAGATGATCCATATCTGACCACTATGAATCTGATGAGACCTCTGAAATATCCTGGAATCATCTCTGGTTATTTCTGTTTTTATTCTACGGATTTCTTTGTTTCTCTTCTCCTAATTAAATCTCAGGGCATTAATATCAACACAGTACATGGTAATGGTAGTGTTCAGTCATGCTTTACACATTGTTAATGGTTTGTTTGCGAATTTCCTTCCTGGCTCAATAATTAATGGGACCATATTGATTTCAGCTAATTAATGTTTCCTGTCAAAAGGGAACAAACAAACCAGTAAGTTGCACAAGCAACACACTTTTTAGTCATGCTAACTGCGTCGCTCTATGGATGGCAATGTCAGTGCACTTCTTTGGTTCGGACTGAAATATCTCAACAACTACTGGAGGGATTACCATGAAATCTGGTGTGGACATTCATGTTTTCCTTTGAGTTAATTAACTTTTCACTGAACTTTTCATCTGGCACCATCGTCAGTTTAATTTGTCCTGTCCTTTTGGTTTCCATCAGCCTCAGCTGTACTTCTTATGCCTTACACCAAATGACAATTTCACTGTTGCAGACACATTTCCAATGTCAGAATAAAATCCTGAGTTTTACTCCAGTTGGTGCTGCCTGTTGTGACCTCAATCATTTGTTACATAAGGTGGTCGTCTTGACGTTCCCACGAAATCAAACGTGTTTAATATTATATAAAGTTTTCAGTCTTCATTCATACAAATACTGGAGTTCACTGATGTGAACATTGCCAACAACCAATTGCTCCACTCTCTTTAGCACCAAACAAGAAGCAGCAAACTAGGTGGACGGTAAACATGAAGGGGATGCCAGGGAGGCGTAAGAACGTAAACAAGTCTCGGTTCTCTTGTACCATGGAAAAGGAGGAGAAACTAAACTGTGGAGTAAAGGCATATATCTGATCCACCAACAAACACACTTATTTTAGTGAGAAATCTTTTTTTTTTTTTTTTTTAACGGTTCGCCTCTCATTCCCACGGCCTCCTCCCGCTAAAATAGTACAGCTAACCAATGGAGGTTGGTAGCGAGTTGAGTCAAGAAAATCCAAAATGTAAAGTTTGCACACAAATACAGTTTATCTTTATGGGTTATACTGATGTAGAATTAACAAGAATACTGTCCACACATGATACCTGTTATCTTGTTTATAGAGTTATGTGTTTTGCGGATACGTAAGGAACTGTTAATATATCAAATTTCTTAAAGGGACATTTGGTGTACTATGTTCCACCAGGAGCAGGATGGGATATAATCTCAAAAGGAATCTAGTTGTAGTCTTGCAAATAGTGACCCTGCAAGGTCCTCAGACTTTGCAAAATCTTAGTGTGTGACTTAAGATTCAAACAGTCTTTAGATGTAAGAGGGTGTCAGATTTTAGTCTTTAAAATGTCTTCAAGTCCTCTAGTGTATGGTAGGCTTAAGTCTCAAATGTTAGCATGCTAACATGCTAAACTAAAAAGGTGAACATAGTTTCACACCTTGTCTATTTTTGCTGCATGGTGGCTGTAACAAACATGCAGGTCAGTGGCATTTATAATTTCTGTAAGTATAAAGTTAATTGTTAAGTTAGGTAAATTTAATTTACGCTCATCCAAGGAGGTTATGTTTTTGTTCCCGTTTGTCTGATTGTCAGCGGGATTATGGAAAAACTACTGGCCTGACTTTCATGGAACTTAGTGGTAGGGTGTAGCATGGGCCAAGGAACAAATACAATTCTGGAGCAGATCCAAATCACAGGGCAAATACACAAAATATTTTTCACTTTCATTAACAGTACAATAAACTGCGTTTGACCTTGGTGGAATAACTGCCAAACATCTTGAAATACAGTATATGGTAGTAAAGTTCAGATGTATTACAGAAATACAATGACTCCATATCACAATACACATTCATGGGTACCAGTAATCCTCTGTGGTAGCTTACACATGTACTTGCTCAAACTTGGTTTCATGGAGAACCGCCACAATTAACAACACTTTTCTCTCAAACTAAGGCGCAGCTGCAGAAACATAAATACACACATATCATCCAACTAATAATACTGTAACGCACATCCAAATGTGAACTGTCTGTGACAAACTCCATCAGAGATATTAAGGAAAAATGTTCAATCCTTATGCTTCACAAGAAAAAAAAACAGTGTTATTGGCCCTAGGTTATAAGTACATAATAAATGCACAGCTGAGATGATGAGGCTTCAGAAAGGCTCAACCATATTTTGGCTTTATTCTAACACTTTTGGGAATATGTTGAAACATATATAATAGTTGTGCTTGCAGATTTCCATATAAAAGTCTAGACCATTGGCCTTGGCGGAGGTCTGCATGTGCTCTCTGTGTGCCCTTCTAGTTTCAGTTATGGAGAATTGTTGAATTTTTAAGCTAATTAAAAGCTAATAGTGTGTGCAAATTGGTGAGCTTCACATGTCAGCTGCAATATTTTATGCTTAAGTGAGTTTAAATGCTTATCATCAGGCGATATTGTTAATTGCAGTGGAGATACTGATATGCATTCTTATAAGGAAGTATTTAAATCTGCAGCTGGACTGTATTTATGTGACTTGTTCTTGTTTTTGCGGCAGTATGTTGGATTAGACACAATAAATTAAGTGAATAGTGAAAAAACACTCCAGCCTCCAGCCTTAGGCCTTTATTGAACGCTGATGTTAGCATTTAGCTCAGAGCAGCACTGTGGCTAAGTACAGCTTCACAGAGCTGCTAGCATGGCTCGTTTAAAAACATTACCTTTCGCAGAGTAACAGCAAAGCACTCATGCTTCTACTTGAGTATAATCACACCTGAGTAATAGAGCTTCTTTAGTCAAATACTTCCATGCTGGGTTTGGCTGCATGTATTCCTTTGGGTGATAATACATCAGCTAGGATTTAATTATCGACAGGTGACAATGTAGATAGCCAGAGGGAGGTGATGAAATATTGACTGCCAAGTGGGATGTTTGATAAAGTGCAGTCCAGGTAGGAAATAATGTACATCAATACCACAATTAGAAATAAGATTTAGAATAACAGCGTACACACATTAATACAGAGAACAAGATGACAACATGATGTCATCGAGTCATTTCACAGCATTAGTAATGCGAGTTAGGATCAAATATAAAGCCAAGGCTGCTGTGACTGGTGGGACTTGTATTAAAATCTTTACTGAAGATGTTTTACGACTTTGGCTTTGGATAAAGTGAGTCATTTCAGGACCTGAAATTGCAATGCAAGATAGGGTCATTATAACTGACACACAGATGTGGGAGTAACTGTGTGGGGGTATCCATTCATGCTGTGTCGCGTCAGACTGGCTGTGAGTCAAAGCCACAGCATCTATTGTAGTTTCCTTCGTCTGTCGTCATGTCATCTTCCTCTCAATGTCACTTAATTTGGCTAAAAGGCAAAAAAAAATGTGACCACCGAGGAGCAAAAGCCCGTGATCATTCTCAACACGTTTTGTTGCTTTTGCAAACATCTACCGCACGTCACTATCACAGCCCCGACACACAACCGAATAAATCAATCCCTGAATAACATGGCTAACTGTGCTTTCAGGTCAGAAGGTCATTTTTGGCCTGATTACTATTCTGTGTGTGATGAATCTGGTTTCTATCGCCACTCTCTGCTATCTCAGCCATGCAGAGTACTGCCTGGTGAAAGTGAAAACCCATTACTCTGTCTGTCATGCTCATCATTTGCTGTGGGGCAGTAAATAATCAACACTGGCCGTTTATGTCACCAACCAGTCTGTCAAGGTCATGACACTATAAGAGAAAAAATGACAATAAGACCTGAATGAATGGCTTCAATGGCCAGCATTGCATTTGGAGAAATGGCACAGCAGTTTATCTTTTCTTTTCACTGTGCCTGGCACGGATTGATGGATAACAAGTTGAGTATATTTTAAAGGTAATTGAAATGTCCTCTGTATTTATCAAACCTCTCAGATTAGATAAACTGATCCGGAATCACTGCCTAGGTTCTTTCTTTTCGATCCAAACAGAAAAACGTTGCCTAAGTAAATTAGCTCCAGTGGAAATTACAGTAAGTTACATTAAAATTAAAATACCTTAATATGGATGTTGAAGGACTGACTATGGGTGCTTTCACAAAATAATTACACAATGAGCTTTTTCAAAAGTAATCATTGGTAATATGGATATAATGACTAAGTGGGTAAAAGCAAATAATAGAACAGAACTAGTGAGAAAATGACACCACTTTACTGTAATGCAGCCTTTAAAAGCAGGCAAAGACAACACTTACGATACCATAATACAACCCAGTCGCCAGAAAATTTGTCGGCATTGTATGTTTCTGTAAACCACGGTTATGTTACATTTGTACATTATGAAGCGACCACATTAAACTTTACATTTCTTTACATTTCAACAGCGCTGCGGTTAATGTGTGGTTATATTTAAGCACGAAAACCAATTGGGCATGGTTGGGGAAAGATCATGTTTGGGCTTAGAAAACATTTTGGCAGCACAATCACTGCTGGAGAAGCTGTCAGTGTCTTGGTAAATAACAACCACCATGTCTCGTTGAAACACAAAAGCTTTTCATGGCATTACCACGGCAGGAAAAGAAGCAATGTCTTGGGGGGGGAAGCAGAAACCGCTTTTCGTGGCACTGTCCTGGCAGAAAATGTCTCAGTAAAAAAAACAAACACATTTTGTGGCACAGTGCCCGGTGGACAACAACGGCAACAGGTCGCTGAAGATGATATGTATAAAACGTACAAATGTAACATATTTGTGGTTTGCAGAAACGTACAATGCCAACATGTTCTTCTGCCAACTGGCCTGTACTATATCCAATATGATTTCTAGTCTCATATCATGATATCAATACAGTATCTATATATTGTCCAGCCCTACCAGCAGCCTCTGTTTGGTTATATGTTGTTCCTTTAAGCTTATTCTGTGACCCACAGTGTCATTCCTGCTGAGGGCTGCACCCCTCCGTTACTTCAAAACAGACCAAGTGCCACTTTTAATGACCGTGTTTGACCAGGCAGGCTGAATAAGAAGAGACTCCAGTGGTGGTCGGGGTGAATTGCACAAGAACAGTGTGGGTCACACACGCACCTGAACTCTCAGACCTGAGATCGACCCACAGTCTCATACAGCTGACTCATCAGAAGCTCCTTTTAGAGCGGTTGAGTTCATGGCCTTATCTCTGCATTCTTTATACACTTCCCTGCCACAGTCCTCTCAGCCAGTCGAGGGATTACTGTAGATCCACTGACCTCCCGATCACAAACACACACACCCTTCCTGCATCTATCCCTTCACCTTCAAAGTGCAGCGTGTGCACTCAGTAAAATGCCAGAGTTGTATGTTATATCATGTCCTGGATGGAGAAGAGGGGCCCCTCGAGCAGGAAATAGAAAGTGTTTTATTGTGAAAGCTAGCTGTGTCTATTAGAACAGCTGCATCTGAATGGCTCAAGTACAAAACATTCATTCAGCTAAAAATTCAATTCAAGCTTCCAGGGGGGTGAATTGAGCCAGGCCTTCAGTTTCTGCTTTGGCATGGAGCTTTTTATTCCGCTAATGATCAGAATAAGGACCGTATCAGAACAAAAAAACTGCCTCATGTAACCACCTCAACTGCAATGAACCCTCCCTTTCTGAGGGAAACTTCATTGTCCTTGAGAGCGGCGGTACAAACTTTGTTTTTTATAATCCATTTGACGAATGAAAATTGGTCATGTAAATGCTCCAGATCTATTTTGGGAATATCTGCTCTCACCCTTGAGTTAAGTGACATTTACTAGTTTCTGAGAGACTCCCACTCATGGCGGGTGCTGAAGGTGGATGACCTTCTACCATTTAATAACTGCAGGGGCACTGTGTTCTTATAAAACTGTGGTTCTGGGAAGCACAATAATAAACCACTAATGGTGCCAATCACTTGATGCCCTTTAACTGAGTATTTCCTTTATAATTAAACTTCATTTGGACTCATTAGCCTGCTTGATTATCTTGTGAAATTAAAAACGTAATCACAGTCAGTGTTGGCTAATGTACCTGTGATAAATCCTCTATCTTTACCAGCCAAAATATAAACCCTCGCAAATGGTTACAGCAGTAAAACCACTGAAAAACGTAAATAAGTGATGGTCAGCATCAAGATAAGATTTGTATGACATCAAAGCAGCAGTAATTACTGGATGTCAAGAGTCACAAAAGAGCTTTTTTGTCCTGAGTGGGTTTGTGAACCTTCTCAGACACCCCCACTGGGTGTTTTTCTGCTTTAATGGCCTTTTTAGTAGGGCAAAGCGATACAACCCTAATTTAGATGTATTGTGTTGAGGCGCTCGGTGGCACATCTTGTGAGGGAGCCCAGAATTCCCAGTGTCACCTCTGCTGTGGACATGACTGATTAATCCACTGCCAAACTTGCCGGCTGACTGGCCGGGTGTGTGGCTGGATGACTGACTCTCAGGCTGTTTGGCTACCTGCCTCGTTGTTTCTCTCAGACTGATTTCCTCTTGATTAGCCATCTTGCTATTCGCCCCCGTCTGTGTCTGTCTGTCTGTCTGTTGTAGCTGACTGTGAGTCTGACTGGCAGCACCATTGATTACCCATGCTCCCCATCGATCACGTCAAGTAATTATAGCGAGGCAGAAAAGCCACCTAACCTAATAATCACTGGTACAATCTACATGTGAGGAATCCTCCCTTGGCCTCCATGTGTATATAATTGCTGCAGTTTGCACACACAGCTCATTAGCAGAATGTGGAGATAAAGAGTCTGTCTGCTTAAACGCCTCATCCTAACACCCACCAGCCAGGGCTGTACAGTACACACACACTCTGCTCCTCCGGCACCTCAGCACTGACAGCAGCAACACATCCATTAATGACAATAATGCACCAGAGGACATGACAGTGAACTTGAAAGTGAGAATGTGGAAATGAAGGGAAAATGTTGGTGTTGCTGGAGACACAACGCACATTTGGTGCTGAAGTGTCTCCAGAAGATGTGGTGCTGCCGCTGATAGTGGCGTTAATAATGGATAGGCCTACACTGTAAAAGCGGCTGGTTGCAAAATGATTAGCCCATACCAGAGTGGCCTATTTCCCCTGAATGACATGCACAGATTGTACCTGGCTGTTTGCCCCCCCACCCACCCCCTCCCTCGCCTTGCATCCCAAATTTACTGCTCACATTAATAGCCAGATGCATTGTTGCTTGCTGCGTAAATCCCATTTAAATCTAAGGGAATGTAATGGTGTCTAATTAAAGAGGCTGCAAACATAACCGGGCCGGATGAGAGAGAAGGGGGTGGGGGGGGGGGGGGGGGGGGGGGGGGGGGGGGGGGGGGGGGGGGGGTGTAACAGATGCTGTTTATACAGGCTATCCTTTGTGAGGAAAGATGCATGCAGGCTATCTCTACAGTAAGCAGTGATGGCATGCTTAACCTACAGTCAAGGTGCTTCTTCTTGGGTCCGCTGACTTCATGCGTCGTGGCCTTGCAGACGGCTTTGCTGATGGCAGACCCGGTCATGCTGTGCTGCGCGGCGGCGATCCGGTCCGTCAAAGACTGTCCCGACATGTTACTGAGGAGGAGGTGGCGGTGGTGGAGGTGGCGGTGGTGGAAGAGGAGGCAGGCGGAGTGATGGTCGAGGAGTCCGGGTGGGGGGAACCGGGGAGGACGATCAAAATGTCTTTAGAGGCAGGGAGGAGGGTAGTGCCCTCTGCGAGAATCGGCCGTCTGAGCAGGAGGAGGAGGAGGAGGAGGACAGCAGCAGCAGCGTACACCGACGAGGATCCGGTGGGAGAATTCATGCGGCGGCCAAATACAACATAAGACGATCACATCCAGGGAACCATTTAATATTCAGTCGAAGGCATCAGCATGACCCAGCTGCAGAAATAACACATGTAAAAATCTGTATAATTAAGAGCGGCCTGCATCAAAAGTAGGCTCCTATAATAAAATAAGACAGAGTACAGTAAGCTGTGATGTATCCCTGAGATGCCGGCGGGATGAGCCTGTACGAGGGCTGAATCCGAAATAAAGATAATCGAAAACACTACCGCTGATTATGATCAGATCTATGCGGCATCCCCTATGACTGAAGACTCATTTTTCAAAGCCGATATAAAACACCATTGTCCTTTCCCTTTTTCCTCCTCTTCCTCGTCCGGTGTCTCCTCTGAAGCTACGCGCAGATCCGACCGCAAACACCTCTCTGATCCACACAGCACCCCGCGCTGGCTGCATCTAACCTCAGCCGCTTTGATTATTTATTTTTATATATCCCCCCCCAGTCTTTTTAATCTTCTTACAAAAGGGTGTATATCTCTGTGTGTTGAGGTTGCCGATAGGCCAATTCCGATTTTTCTTTCCTCCCCCCCCCAGTCAAACTTGTGTGTAAAATGGCAGTACATGAATCAGGTGACTGGGAAAGGAGGGCGATTGGGCTACTTGTGCGGGTCTGGGGAGGGCATCTTAAAGCAGAAGGCTGCCCCCGGTTTTTTAAGGCAAAGGGAGGCATCAGCTGGTTCATCACCTCGGTGCATGTGGAGGGCTCAAGAGTGTGATGTGCAAACTCTCCCAGATTACCTGCTGTCCAATGAAATGGAGACACATAGGGGGGGAAATCCATGATAACATCAACACAAGATGTGTCGTTTGTGTGATGCTGCAGTGTGATTCCTGTTGTCTTAAGACTGAAAATGTGTGTGGTGTGATCCTCATGTAGTCTATTTTATAGCCTAGTGATTGTCATGGCATTACAGCAGCCATAGGTGTAGATACCAGGGGGACCACAGGGGGCATGTCCCCCCTCATCATTTAACACGTGCATTTGTTCCCCCCTTTAAAACATGAAAGTAGCAAAGGACTTTTATTTTGGCAAAATTAAAGACATCCTACACATTAAAGTGTTGCAGAAAAGCCACAAATTGACAAATCTGTGCGTAAAAATTAACCAGAATGCAAGAAATTAAGTGTTTGACACTAGCCGATTTCACATATGAGCTCCAGAGAATCAGGTCCGGTCATTGTCTGAACTTTATTTTCACACAAGTAGCACACAGCAGGAGATTGTCTGTGTCAGAAGCGTTCTCACCTATAAATACTCCCATTTGGTTTAGGTGAGGGGTGGCACCTGGGTAGAGCGTACTAGAGGCAAGGCAGGACATGACGCAGATGACACCCCAGTCACGTAGCTGGTTCGTAATTTGGTCATAAACAAAGAGCCTCTTGCCATTCCTTGAATTTGTCTGACAGTTTTGTTTTCAGCCCTTACCTACAGAAGTCTCAAATCTCGTCATCTCTCCAGTTAGACATTTTCATTGCCGTCTTTGTGTACTTGACCCTTCTCCTTCACTCGCGGATGTTTGTTTGTTTCCAGTTATCCATGAGCTGCACGATAGAAACGTCATCCACATGCCATTTGCTCATGGTGATTTCTCCCGACAATTACCTGCTCTATTCACACATGGCCTCAATCGGACATGACACGGACTTTGTATCAGGGAACTGGCAGGGTGAAGTCCGTTTAATGTCCGAGCCAACTGATTCGGTCATTTGCGTTCTCACATTCAGCTCCTCCGGATAATGTTTAGATAATTTCAGAATTGCAATAAATGTGTGAGAGGAGCTTCTCTTAATTTTCTGGCAGAGAACCCCCAAACTTCCTGTTTCATATGTGTGTCCCCCAACGTTAAAATGAAACCCACGCCCTTGACAGTAGCATAGTAGCAGTAGCGTTCCCATATGATATTAGTGTGCCGATGACCTCACAGTTCACAGTGCTAGTTTATGGTGTTTTACTATGGTACCATGACAAAATCCCAGCAAACATACAGTATAGCCTATCATTTTCCTGTGAAGTGTCCATTTGGTGACATTTCTTGTAGCCTCAAAATAATTTTACTGCACTGTTCCAGTTTGATTCATTTAGTTCCAACAACATTCCCAGTATGCGTCTAAATGACATTTCATGGATGAGTAAATAGGCCATCTGGTAGCATGCAGTGATGATTCCTGCTTTATTTTAAAGACCAAGCAGAGGACAGAAGAAGAAGAAATATCTATAGGAACCACACATTTTATTTTTATTTTTATTTTTATAACAGGTAATATTTATAAAAGTTAAAGAGACAGCTTCTAGGAAACATGCATGGAAATATCATTTGGAAACCACATTGAAATATTTTTTCAAACTCAAAACATTTTCACACAGGAACTTTTGCGATGGCTGTGGCTCAAAATTTTAAGACAAATGTGCACATCTCTTGAGGAAAGTTGCTTTTTTAGTATGGCTTACATCAGGGCTGCAACAAAGGATTATTTTCTCAATGAATTGATTAGTTGTTTGGTCTATAAAATGCCAGAAAATGGTGAAAAATGTCTATCAGTGTTTCCCAAAGCCCAAGATGATGTCCTCAAGTGTCTTGTTTTGTCCAAAAAAACAAAGATATTCAGTTTACTCTCACAGAGGAGGGAAGAAACCAGAAAATATTCACATTTAAGAAGATGGAATCAGAGAAATTAGTTGGTGATTAATTTTATAGTCGATAAATATTTGAATATTCATTGCTGCTCTAGATCACAATAGGAGATAATGCTCTCTAGTAGTGCAACTGTTCTCGTTACCCCTGTTCTCGTCTGCTGATTATTTAGTTTGGTCTATTTATGTTTTGGTCTATGAAATGTTTTTAAAAAAAAAAGAAGTTAAATTCCCATTGCCTCAAGGTGACATCTTGAGATGTCTTCATCACCTGATCAACAGTTCAAGCCCCAGTCTGTGCCTCTCATGTATTAGCATACATTTTGGTCACAGAGTAACCGTCGGTATCTCTAAGAGATAATTAACTAGATGAAACCCTCTGGGTGACTCTGACACTTAACGCTGTTCTGGCGGTATTTTCAGAATCCTCAAAGGCTCTTCTAGGCAGTTTAATTATCTTTTAGAGAAACTGACGGTTACCTCTGTGACTGGAGTGTACGCTAATACATGGGAGGCACAAACTGCAGCTATCCAAAACCCAAAGATATTCAGTTTATAATAACGTAAAACTGAAGAAAAGCAGGAAATCCTTACAAGTGAGAAGCTTGAGCTGAGGAATTTCTGCTGAGAAAAGAAATGACTTTGTTCTTCGACAGCTATTTTTATAATTAACTCATCAGTTAATTGTTTCAGCCCCATTTTCTCTCTTGTGACTTAAGTCAATGTCAAGGCTGATTTCCAAATTTTGACATGATTGAGCTCAGAGGACACGACACATGCAAAGATCCTGGATGAACAATGCTGAGAACATACTGCGCAGTATAGGGTACTACAAATACATATTTTATTACATACAGTCTGGACCATATGGGATGCTTAATAAGAACAGGCTGTTACACATCAAAGGGAGTAAAGTAAAATATAAAGCCGATGCCTAATTTGAAAACATGGAATTTCAAATAACACTCGAGGCAGACTCAACAAAAGCGGCTGTTCAGTGGTCGCTGCGCTGGAAAGAGCAGAACATGCCAAGTGTTTGACTGGCGAGAAATCGATTTTAGGGTTGAAGAAAACGCCTCATACCAACAATAAAGCCGATAGTTTGACAGCGAGTCAGGCTTGCTATCAAAGTTATTTATATCCAGACTGAGTTATCTACTTTTTGAGGATGACATGTAAACTATCACAGACTGAAACCACACATATACAAAATGAAATGGAAATTAGATCTTAAATACGAAAGGTTACAGCAAATCATAAAGACAGATAAGAGTAGTCCTGGAAGAGCCACAGATGTTGTAAAGTGGTTCACAGTGTACCACTGCTATTACTAATTAAAGAAATTCTCAATCCGCTAATAGCCTTTAGGTTTTATCAACCACTTGAATAGTCCATTTAATGGACATGTCTGCTAAACGGACTCTCCTCCATTATCTCCACAGCATTTATGTTCATTTCTGACTGCAAAGGGTCCTTCTGAGTTTTTCTCAGTTGCATGCAAGGGCAGATTTTCCAGCCCATCAGTTCATCATCCAGTACCAAAGAAAACATCTTTATGCATTAGCAGGTCAGTTATGAATACACAGGATGCATCCTCTGTGTTCATGTGACATAAAGGGATTCAGATTACGACAGGAATATGGCTGTGGCATTCAACAGATTTTTTTTTTATGTCAAACTACTGTCTTAAAAGTCCAATGTGTAGGATTTAGGGGGCTGTATTGGCAGAAAAGGAATATAATAACTATGTTTTTTTGTGTTTTCATTGCCTTAGAATAAGCTGTTTATATCTACATAGGGAGTGGGTCCTCCTCTATGGAGATCACCATGTTACATTGCCATGTTTCTACAGTAGCCCAGAACGGACAAACCAAACACTGGCTCTAGATAGGACCATTCACATTTTTTGCATTAGCCACCGCAGTTAGCAGTCCTTCCACAATGTGTCGAACAGCATCAAAGAAAGACTGATTTGTAATGTGACAATGCTTTATTTAGTATTTTTACTGGTTGTAATCACCTCGTCTGTTTGTTGTTAAGAGGAAGAGACCTCTGCAGATAATCAGGCTCACTGTAAAAACCTCCTAACCAATGAACACTGAAGAAATTCTTACTGGGAGTTCACGCTTGGCACGTGGGAGAAGTTTCAGCTGGTTGCCATCTGCAATCCTAACAACTAGATGCCACTGAATTCTTCACACTGCTCCTTAGAAGGTCAAGAATTAGTTTTCATGCTCAGTCATGCATAGCCAGATCTCCACACTTTGTTTAAGCGCTGTGTCAGTACTGGAGAAGGCAAAGAGTGAAAGCAGGTGGTGGGCGGGGCATGGGGCCAGACGATGGGTGTGTTCCGCTGTGCATACTTTTAACTTTTAGTAGGTACTGCAGCTGCCCATAAAAGGTATGTACTGTTGCATGCAGTATGCACACAATCGGGACATGCTACTTTCTCATAACCATTCGCCCTGAACTAAATTCATAACTGCGGAGGTTGTAGATAGTAGACGGCGAAATTGCAACTGCAGTCCTCTGTCATTGTTATTTTCATTGTTGTTTATAATATTTATGATTATTTTGTTCACTTAAACAGTCAATATTCCTATTATTACTATTCGACTGGTCATCAGTTACATGATGCACTCTCATCCGTTATTGTGATTTCTGACAGCTGTCAATCAGCTGTCATCTCTTTGTGGCTCAGTCAATGTGACCTATCACATCGGATTAGGGGTCAGAATAGCCAGAAAAGCATGCTGACTTGCATACTGAAAAGTCGGACCGGATGTAGTAGAACATCCTGGTATTTTTGGCATACTACATTTGACATACTATGTACTGTGACGTACTAAATCTTTTACTGGTATACTATATAGTATGGGTAGCTAGAATCCTTAATTTTTTACTTTTTATGTGGGAATCCCAAAATATTAATCATAACAGAGTATGTTAAACATTTTAAAACATGCCTGGAGAGGACTTTGAACATATTAGATATATGTAAATCTGAGCTTAAGTCCACAGTTTGAGCTGGTAAATGACAGAAACCTGAATCTGCAGAAATCATTTCCTATACCTCAGTCACACTTAAGTGTGAGGACTGAGTGGATGTAGGTTCTGTCTCATTTGTAACCACAGGTTTTAGTTTTTGGTTCAAATTCACTCCAGTAAAAATGCATCTCAGGTCTTTGTGGTACTGTCAGCACTCATATATTAGGTCCACAATATGTGTGAAATATGGGACATTTTCAGCATTTGCAGTTTTGACTGTTTCCATATACTGGATGATGGTGGACTGAGGGAAAGGCTCCATTTTTTTTTGTCTGTCTGTGTTCACACTGCAGATGAAAGTTTAAGGAGCTGTCAGTTCAGCTACATGTCAGAGGCACAATGTCAAATACGTGTAATGCAAGCAAAAGACGCAGAAGTACAAAAAGTGGACACATCAGGCACTGTAGGTTTATACTGATACTAGATATGGGTTACATCGTAGAATGAGCAAATCTTGCAGTTTTCGTGTATAAATATAATTACTTAAAAGACTCTTTTAATACCTCCAAAAGCAAAAATAATAGTGCAGTTCCTGTGGGTAAAAGGATGAAATAAACAAAACTGGAGTTTTTTGTGGTTGTGAAGCATGAATCATAGCCTAGAACTAAATTACAAAAAAACATTTACCTTAATATTAAAAACCAAACCTTTTTAAGAATCTGCAGGAACAACAATAACAACAAAAAAATCAATACCTAATCTTTTATGCTCCTGATATCACGTTGGCCTGCAGTGTGAACACAGCCCATCGACATCGGTACAAAGCTTCACCTGTTTTACATTTTCCTTCATTAATCACATGGGCTAAGGCAGTTTTTTTTTTACAAGCAGTCCCTGAGCCAAACTTCTCTCCGTGGTCATGGCCTCACAGCTGTTTACTTCCTGGTTGCCTGTGATTGGTCAGAAGTCACCATTTCACACACGACGAGCAGTTGAAATGATCCTTGGTGGTGCTGGTGTATCCAGACAGGACGAGGGAGCTGGGGTCTCGCTCCACCAGCGGGCTCTCCTCGTTGTTCAGGATGTGCCCAACCAAGCAGCGCGTCGCCTCGTCAATGTTTGCGTTCTCCTGAGAGAGGGAATAAGACAAGACAACAGTGAAGAAATCATGTACCCCATAGTCACTCCACACACAGCCATAGTGGCATGGCTCTATGGATGTGGGCCTGTCAGTCCACCACTTTGGTCCAGACTGAATCTCAAGAGCCACTGGATGGATTGCGATGAAATTTTCTACAGACATCTGTGGTCCCCAGAAGATGAACTTGAATGACTTTGTAGATCCTCTGATTTTTCATGTAGCGCCACCTTGAGGTTCAAATTTGTGGTTTAGACTAAAATATTTGACACCGACAGTATAAGTTGGATTGCTTTGAAATTAGCTTTAGATATTCAAGGTTTCTTAAGGACGAATTTTAATTACTCTGTAGATCCTCTGACTTTTCATCTAGCATCATCATTGGGTCAAAATTTCAATTATTCAGCATGATGATTTAGCAATGAGCGTCAACTGTAGTTTGAGTTTAGTGCTAATTAGCAAATGTTAGCATGCTAGTGGGCTAAACTAAGATAATGAATATGGTAAATGTTATACCTCATAAACATGTTAGCATTGTTATTTTGCACTTGTTAGCTTGCTCAAGTTTTGCTCAAACCAACCGCATACAGTGTCACAGAGCACACTTGCATGGCTGTGGACTCTTTTAGCCCATTTCTACACATGTGCTGACTTGGCTTAACTCAGTTCGACTGAGTGCATCAGCCCAGAGCAGCAGGGATTTCCATCTCCATAAAACAGAGCTGCCCACTTAACTGATGTCACACTTGGCTTGACTCAATGATTTTAAATGCATTGTTCTCTTTAGTGCTGTTTACTTTGAACTGTGTGAGCGCATGCCCTTCTCTTTTCTGTTTGCTTTTTTGAGATGCAGTTGAAACTGGTAAAGTATCTGCTATGTCTGGCACCAGAGGATATTTCAACTTCATGCTGAATTGTTCCTGGATGATGACGAAGCCCATCTGATGTCACTGCATCCTGCTTAAAAGTGGTCTGGCACGTTTTGAGCCGAAGTCGGTTATGGTCTATCTTGGGCGTGATTTGACACAACTTTCTGTGTTAAATTGCGATCGGAAACGTAAATCAACACCGAATGGTTTGACTCGGTGTGGCCTAAACTGCCAATGGGAAAGTCCTAAAGTATTTATCTGTCATGCTGAAACAAAACAAAACAGAAGATCAAGTCAAGAATCATTAAGTCAGCAAACTGACTTGACAATGTCAGTTACACAACAATATGTTAGCTAGTTAACATTAGCCACCATGGGATAATGGTCATATCAGACCAACTCAGGCTCTAGCACCAAAACCCAAAATGTGATGTGGGTGTTTTTTATTTATTATTCTCTAATAGGACGATTGTGCCATTTCTTCTTTCATCAACGGCCATATCTGTCCGCAAATGTCTACAGCAGCCTGTATCACAGTCCGATTGGTAAATACAGCAAATCAGACAGTCTGATTCTGACTTAATTGACTATCCCCCTTTTCATTCTGACATCGCAGACTAAACTAATGAGAAGTCAGGATGTCACACAATGTCTGAAACATTATTGTTTTTGTCCTGTCTGCTGCGCCTTTGTGTCCTTTAACTACACTACTGTCTCTGACTCCCACTCTGGTGTGTAACTCATTAGACAGGCTCTAGACAGCCAGTTCACACCAGACTGCAGACATTCCTCCATTTGTCTCTTCAGAAAATGCTTTCTGACTTTCAGTGTTTGTGCTGAAACGCCAGACAGTAATTTTCAGAATCATTTATTTTTACAGTGAGCATCTATTGTAATAGCATTGCTGTTATTTTAGCCAGTTAAATGTGTCGTTAATCTGACTGTGTAAATTATGTATAGTGCTGATGACTGTTATTTAGCCCTGAATTAAGTCTTTTAGTCTTTGCCTCAAGTCAAGCAGCTTTACAGCTCAATCACAAAAGCCCTCCAGCCTTTTATATTTGCATAGAAATCGCCAGTATATTAAAAGATTTGTGGAAACCACCACCTCAGTCTAACTCTTAATGTCTTTTCCACTGATTTGACTTCAGCCTCTTGTACCTTTGCAGAGGTCTCGAACCAGCCAACGAAGCCATTCTCCCTGCAGAAGGAGTCGAGTTTAGGCGACTGGGAAGACAGCTGGTCCGCCTTATTTGCCAAGAGTACAGCTGGAACTGGCCTCCCGTGGTTCAGGGTCACCTGAGGAGAGAGGAGAGAAGAGTTAGATGATGGTTGTACAAACTTTAATATCATATAATTTACTCTTTTGGCTATTTGATGTTTAACTAGAAGAAAAACATCATAAATCATAATTTCTGTAATATACCAAAACCGACAATACAACACGCATGCCCACACACGCAGCGATTGGCCAGGTATGTGATGGTGAGAAAGTAAGTAAGGTTTGAACTTCTCTCTCAGGTGTTTTAGAAGTTATTTCTTTAGATTCGAGTGGGGGCCATTTTCCTTATTTGAGTAATTATCGCCCCTCTGTATGATCGCAGGCTTAAACCAAACGCTTCTGTTGTTATACATGATTGAATGACACGTAGTATATTGACAACTTTATAGAAACTGTCAGACACTGCCCTCTATTTCTGATGTTGGAAAAGCTGTGATGAGGGTGGTGGATGGGTGGGGGTTCAGATGCATCTGACTCACACTGTTGTCGAAGCACACTGGCACCTTAAGCAGTTCCCAGTGCACTCTCTGTTCCCTCTGCTGTGTGCAGGCTATTGGTGTCACCTTTCACAAACTTTGAGCACTGCAGCTGCAATTTTTCAAACAACCTACTTTTATTGAGCCCTGGTCTTTGGAGCTGTTGGCACACATGGGCTCTGGTATCAACATGCATCTCAGGTGGACAGCTTAAAATACAGATGTGAATGCACCCAGTGCTTTGTCACTGCGTTGCTCAGACCACATTTGGAGGTGGTTTGAACCACCTAAGGCCACACTCTTTCAGCAGTGTGCACACTAATGTGTCCTGAGCCGCATTAAATTACTACATATTTAACTTATGTCCTCTGTGTAGTGTCTGTAGAGACCCACAACACCCTGTAAGATGATGGAATGACTTCCTTTGCAGCTGAAGTAGGCTAATCCTTTGCATTCTTGGAGGGGACAGTGATGGGGATGAGAGAGCAATCTATTGCTTCCCTGCACTGGAGAACACCCATCTCTCCTCGAAACCATCCATAGTCTCCCACAGTCTGTGGCAAACTACAAAATTGGAGCTGATTAACAACAACGCATTCGGTCTTTGCAAATCGAAATGATGTAGGATTACTTGTTTATTTGCATATGGAGGAGGAAGTGAGATCCTATCGTTGTGTGTGCTTGTGACCGGCCATGTGCAGGTGTAGTGTGAATTATTACACCTCTTCCAAGAGACAGAATGACAGGAGAGAAAGTTTGTGCTGACCTTGGAGTCCAGATCATCCTTCCACTTCAGCACTGCGTCAAACGTGGAGGCCCTCGTCACGTCAAACACCACCAGAGCTCCCACCGCCTCCCGGTAGTAGACACGAGTCATGTTCCCATAACGCTCCTGTCCTGGGACGCACGGCACAGGACAGCCATCAGACACACACATATTTGTGTAAAGATGCCTTTCAAGTCTGTTAAATTAGATCAACTCACAGCACGGTGTATTAGTGACGAATACAGCGTGTGTGTATGTGTTTATTCTACAGTAGCTGCCATCATGTGACTGATATTATAAGCATGGGATCACTTGAGTCACAGCCAGGCACAAGATCTACATTCCTCGACCAGGCTTCAAATGACAGGGAGGGACCCAGGCGTCCATTCTCACCGCGAGTTCACATTCAGCCACTGAAAAATATCTACATCTTGTAAAGTTATGTTTGTTTGTCACTGAATCATAAAGTGAAAACAAGTTTAAAAAGTGTTGTTTTTGTGCAGCAGTCTGTCATGTTTCAAGACACTGTTGACAGGAGCTGATTGTATTGGAAACCAGTTAGTTTGATCTTACTGCACTGGCAGAAAATAAGACTTAAGGACTCAGAAATTGTTCTGCAGTACAATCCAACTACCATTTTATACATGTTTTAATGTTTCAAACACTTATCCTGTAGTAGCTTTAAAGTTTCCACAGCTGGTGAGGGAGAAACAAAAGCTTTCTGTCCCCAAAAATCCCAAGCCACAGAGAATAAATCCCGCAGAGCTTTACAGTTTTAACAATCACCTGATGCAAACAGTGAGCTCGTAAACCAGGATGTGCTGGTTAAAGTTTGACAGACCTGCTATGTCCCACAGCTGCAGCCGGATCACAGTGTCATCGTCCCACTGGAGCACCTTCAGGGCGAAGTCCACCCCGATGGTGGCTCGGTAGTGCTGGGAGAAGATCTGGTGCACGTACCGCTTGATGATGGACGTTTTCCCGACTCCCAGGTCCCCGATGACCAGGACTTTGAACAGGAGCTCCTGCTGCATGGCTGCAGCTCTGCAGGGAGAAACCCCTCAGTAGAATTATAGAAACCTTTTATGAACACCGGTGCGCACAAAACTGTAAACTGGCTGTGGTGAAGTTAAGGACAGTAACGTAAGTAGAACATTTTCTTCCGTCCAACACACTACGCACTATTTTTCTTATTATGATCCAATATCGTCGAGATTTGTGAAAGAAGAGGTGAAGCTCGCCTCAGATCACTGCAGTCCATCCGTTTAATCACACAACACACTCTGGGTCAGTTTACTTCACGGCCAACTCTCAGCTCCTGGAAGCAACTCCCAACACAGAGGCTGTGAACTGGTGGTGCGTTCAAACGCTCCTCGTAAAACTTAAGGATTTGTCACACAGCCGAGTGCGTTTTCTCCAATGTGCCTAGGACCCTTAGTGGCCTGCATGGTACAGATTTAACTTGTCTGATCATACAGTATGTCTTGAATGTTAAATTTGATTTGCAGCAACATTAAAACATTTCCCTGCTGTAGTTTTATTGTGTTTTTTTGCAGTTGGAAAAGATCAAATTTCCCACAAGGGTTTAACAGACAGATTTTACAGTATCTGGCAGCCCCTGCTCAATTAGGTCAAGAGCCTGACTTCTCTTTCCCCAGGAGGACTACCTTGCTGAGATGGGTATTAAATATAACAGCTGAAAATCTGCCAACAGCGCACTACAATGACCCATACATGTACACTTACCGCTCTCATAATTTTATTTTTTATTTATCCTATATTTATTTTATTTTATTCACCGATTTATTTTTGTTATAAGTGTATTTATTGCTTTTTTCCTTCCCTCTGTTTTACATTAATGCACCTCAGTCATTATTCTTATCATTAACTGATATGCATTGTTATCATTGTCATCATAATTCCTCAACCTCAGATGAGGGAGATGTGAGGAGGTGGGTGCGGGTTCATTATGGGAATAACTCACATCACTAAATGGTTTTGCAGAAGTAATATTCTCAAATGTGACTTTAACTCCCACCAAAGTCATTTTCTGGTTAGATATCCCTTTCATTATATGAGTGCTGGTAACAAAAATATGTCATATGACAAAATACAGTAAAAAGTGATAAAGAGGGAAGGGACAAGTGTTTGGTAGGTGGAACCAAGTTATTTTTTGTAAGTCACAGGTAAGACTCAAGTGTTTGCACTCGTGTCCCAAGTCAAGTCCTTAGTCCTAAACTTTAAAGCTAGGACTAAGCACTTGACTAATAAAATATGTTCATTAATAAAGTTTGATAGGCTACTGTCATGGGGGAAAAACTGTAACATTGATACACAACATTTTTTATATGCTGCAAATCTACTTTTCTATTTATAATATGTAGCCTAACATTTTGAGGCCAAACAAGTCAGATTATAACTGCTCTGCTTTGTGGCCTTTTTTTTAAACTTTAGTCTGCTTAATTAATGTATGATCTATTTTACATTTGTTTCTATTTTATTTTAAACTGGTGTTCATTAAGCTGTTTAGCTGCTTAATGTCCCTCCCAGTTGTGGAGCAGGATGTAAGGGAGACACCTCCACTGTTGTCATGTCTCCTTCTTAGTAGTTGCTTAGTTGCTTTATTTGCTTTAACTATATATTATTGGATTGTTTTTATATCAATAAAGATTCAAATAATGACATTAGCAATAAAACTACTACTACTCTCCTACTACTACTACTACTACTACTACTAATAGTAATAATAATAATCATTTAAAAAGTAAATATTGGTATAAAGTATACTGTATTCACTTGGGAAAAAATATTTGCCCCGTTTTTCTGAATTAAGGAGATTATTATCTCTGAATTTTGAGAAAAGCTCTCATTGAAAATCAGCAGTTGTTCTCCTGAATTACCTCTTTGTTATCTCGAGTGAATGCTTTATGCCTTTGTATATTTTGTGAGTACTGCTAAATTATTTATTAATTTGCGCTGACACCGTAATGACGATTTTGTTTTCTTCCTACAGCCTTTGAAGGCAGCAGCGTGACCCTGAGGATTGTCGGTGCGCTGCCGTGCGCACAGTTACGGTAGTGGTGCTGATGAGGGCGAGGAGGAGATGTGTGATGCTGCTGTTGTGTCCTGCTGCCATTTCATCCGCCGACCGATCCTCACGGAAATATCAAATGCGGAGTGGAACCATCTCGGATCATCTCTCGGTTTAAACACTCCAGAGGCTGCTCTCGTCCCTAAAACGGGTCACGTGCTGATGTTGGACACGAGGCCTGGTTAATGTGATGCTTGTTATTGGCGGGTTATTTCTGTAACACCACCACTGCTGCTCTACAGGATCATTTGTAGGAATCATCGATATGGGGTTTGTTTTTTACAGACACTGAGCTCTTAACTTTAAGGTAGGTTATTATTTATTGTTCTTTATGAGACTGTTGACTGAATATTCATGTTGTAAGTAAACAACAGCCATACTGGGATTAAGCTAAGTGGGTTGGGCCTCATGATCCAAACAATTTACTCATATTTTTTGTATAAACTTTGCAGGATTTCTTATTATGAGTGACACTGAAGGTCTTCTAGGAACATGTGTTATCAGATAGCAGCCATGTTTAGCAGCTATCTCTTCATTAAGCTCATGTTTGGCTCGGTTCAAGGCCTCATTGTGTGTTATTGCTGTCTAACAACCAGCCTACTATCCACATGGGGGCTGACTATGCCAATGTTTATTGAGTTGGAGAGGAGTGGCCCCCCCCCCTCCCTCCTTCCCCTCAAATTAGATCACCCAACTGTAAATCACATGGACACTGCTGAGATGATCTGAGCCTATTATTCTCCTCATGGTGGCAGCCATAATCCAAAAGTGAACCATGTGGTCGACGCAGTCTGGGCATTAAATGCACATTTGTTTTAATCTGAATCTATTTGAACACATCCTCTGTTTCTATAGAGCAGGGTGTCATTCTGTTGTTTGTAGAGGCTTTAAAGATCATGTTTTAGATTTCATATATTGTGAAGATAATTCTGTAGTGGTTTTGAAAGACAGAGCCTTAAAATGCTCTGCAAATGATCAACGTTTTCTCATCACACTTAGCAAATAAGTAGCTTTGGAACAATTTACATTCCAGTTTTATTTATCAGTACAGATGATAAGATGTATAAGAACAGATCAGAGCAATCTGTTATGCTCTATATACTATGGATTAGGGCTGAAAAATTAAATGATTGTAAACTCTTTGGGTTTTGGATAGTTGGTCACACACTATAAGACATTAATCCATAACATCACTGATGATTTAATGATTTTATATTCTCACAGATTTTATTTTGGTGAGACATGGAGACGATATGGCTTTATCAGTTTCGCTTGATTGTCATTGGTGACTCCACGGTCGGCAAGTCGTGTCTGATCCGGAGGTTCACTGAGGGCCGCTTTGCCCAGGTGTCAGACCCAACCGTGGGGGTGGACTTCTTCTCTCGCCTGGTGGAGATCGAGCCGGGCAAAAGAATCAAACTACAGATTTGGGATACTGCAGGACAGGAGAGGTTCAGGTAAAGGCAGAGCTCTTCCATGCTTTTCACTCATTCACAAAACAGCATCATTAACCTATTTATTTTTATATAGTCAGTGTTTAAGTACCTTTTCTTTTCACATTACATAAGCACATTTACCCCCAACCTTGTCCCAGTCCTGTTGGATGTCTCCATAGAAAAAAAAGTAGTATGTCATAAAAGGAAGTCGTGCAAAATGCCATAATAAAGTCATAGTATAATATGCCTTAAAAAGTCATAAAGCAGTCATAGTATAATATGCCATAAAAGTGGTACAAAAAATATGATGAAAAAGTCAGTATGATATGCCATAAAAAAGTAAAAAATTTCATAGTACATTATAATTTTTATAAATAAAAAGAAAAAAACAGACAAAGTATAGTATGCCATAAAAATGTCAGATAAAAGTCATAGCACAGTATTACATAAAAAGTCATAAAAATGTCTTAGTTAGTTGTAAACCAATAAAAATTAATGCAAAAGTCATAGCGTAGTATGAAATAAAAAAGTGATAGTATAGTATGCCATAAAAAGTCATACAAATGTCCTAGAATAGATTAATGAAAAATGTTGTAAAAAACAACAAAAAAAAAAAACAAAACATAGTGTGTCATAAAAGTGAGAGTATAAGTACCTCAGAAAAATGTCATTAAAAAAAAGTCATAGTATATAATGTGTCATAAAAATAGTCATTAAAAGTTAGATTAAAGTCATGAAACATGTAAAAAGAAAAGTCATAGTATAGTATGCCATGAAAAGTCATAAAAATTTCATAGGATAAAGTCATGAAAATTGTCACCAAAAAAAAAGGCATACAATAGTATGTCATAGAAGACAGTATAGTACTTCATAAAAAATATAATTTAAAATGTCATAGTATGGTATGCTATCAAAATTCATAAAAAGTTCACAGTATAAATTCATGAAAAAAGTCATAGTATAGTATGTCATAAAAGTCTTAATAAAAATCATGCAAAATGCAAAAAAAGTCATACAGTAGTATGTCATAGAAGTCAGTATAGTGCTTCATAAAAACATAATTGAAAAGGTCATAGTATAGTATGTCATCAAAATTCATAAAAAGTTCACAGTATAAAAGTCATGAAAAACATTTTCAAAAAGTCATAGTTTGTGACTTTATGTAAGTATGCCATAAAAAAGCATTTAAAAGTCTCAGTGTGAAGTCATGATATAATATGCCATAAAAATGTCATTAAAAAAGTCATAGCATAGTATGTTATTGAAAGTCATAAAAGAATTCATAACATAATGTCACGAAAAGTGTAAAAAAATAAACCAGTCATCGTGAAGGGTGCCATAAAGAAGTCATAGTATTGTATGTCATAAAAAGGGCCATAGTGTAGGACACAGTTTCTTAAACTGTGGGCCAGTGGTGACACTCAGGAACATTTTGTGCAGCCACTGAACATGAGAGGAAATGCATGCGTTATATTTTCTGACTTAGCAACCACTGAAAACAGCGCCCCCCTAACAAGCGTCTGTCAAGTTAGGAATGACAATTTGTAGAACGCTGCTGTTGGCACTTCCCTAGTGTCGCTGTCATTACAGTCTGTCATCAGTGCTGGTGATGTTAGCTGAAGGCAGGGATTTCCATAGAAGACTTTGCAGTTTCATGTGGAATTGAGATGGAAAAATATTTTATGTGTGCAATTTTCCTGTGCGGCCATCCATCATATGCAGGTTCTATTAAAATGGCACTCAAGTCTTCAAAATGTCAGATCACCTGATGTAAAATTTCAAAAAAGGATCACGAGTATACTTTAATTACACAAAAAAAGGCTCAGTAATTTCTTAAAATGGCTGGAAGCTGTGGTGTTCGGCAAACATTATTCAAACAGGAGTAAATAGTGTATTTGTTGGGGACTGTGTTCTACGGTGGTTTTTATTTTCAGCACAATCCATCTGTCTGTATTTCAAGGTCTATCACCAGAGCTTACTACCGTAACTCCGTTGGTGGGCTCTTACTCTTCGACATCACAAACCGCCGCTCCTTCCAGAACGTCCATAACTGGCTGGAGGAGGCCCAGAGCCACGTCCAGCCGCACAACATTGTCTTCCTGCTGGTCGGTCACAAGTGTGACCTGGAGGCCCATCGTCAGGTGACCCAGCAGGAGGCAGAGAAGCTGGCAGGGGCCTACGGGATGCGCTATGTGGAGACATCGGCACGGGAATCCATCAACGTGGAGAAGGTGTGGATGAGATTTGACTTTTTCTTAATAGTGTGTGTCAAGCTTCACAATCTGGTTTTAATTTTGTTTCTTTTTCACAAGGCATTTGTGGATCTGACGAGGGACATCTTTGAGTTGGTACGGACCGGGGACATCAAGATCCAGGATGGCTGGGAGGGCGTCAAGAGTGGATTTGTTCCCAACACCGTCCATTCCTCCGAGGAGGTCACCAAGGGCAGCCGGCAATGCTACTGCTGATTTATCTGGCTGCAGCATGTGGGGGTGACAGGTAGTAATACTCCATTGGACTCCATCTGTAGGAGATCGCTCTCTCTCGCCTTGGCTGCACTCAGGCCAGTTTTTCGGGACTTGTAATATTTCCCCTGCTCAGTTACACACTTCTATATTTGAGACGCTGTTTTAACGTTGGGGTGCCTGTTCATAGCTCTTCGTTGATGTCCCTAACAGGCGTAGAAGCACAAGAAGCATCCTAACCCTCTCACTGTTCTGTGTGCATGTGTGTGTGACTGTAATAACCCTGCTGTCTTTGCAGCTCTTACCAAACCTTCCGCTTTACTGCACTTTTTGGCCTTTTCTGATGTGTACAGTTATACTCCAGTTGTTGCCACACTTCTCTTAAAGACTGATAATGTCAGTGTAGTGTGTTTATGCTCTCATGTTAATTTAAATCTGAATCAGTGATGCCAAGACTGAGCCATGCCTCGTCCTTTTCACGCATAATACTCAGAATATACTGCAACCTTGTACAGACTATAACCAGTGAGAGACGAGACAGAAAGAGATGTTCACTGATTGTACTGCACTAAATCCAAGTGGCTTAATACATGAAGAGAGCAGATGATAACAACGATGAACTCAAAACTGAACCAAAGTTTGAGACTCTGTCATGTTTGTCTGATTGTGACCTGCTGACGACTGCTGGAGGAAGAGTTTGCACTGTGAAAAAAGAAAAAGCTTCTGTAGCTGCTCACTGATAGCCATTATTACCTGATCATAGCAAGGACTTTTTTTAATCTATATGGTAAGTACCCATGTTCATGTTTACTGCTCTGTGTTGGTTTACTGGTGAGAACCGTAAAGCTTTTTGTATGGAACCCCAAAGAGCCCAATATTGAATACGTAAAAAAAAATAATAGACTGTTTTATTTCATAATGAATTTTGTTCTCAATGACCGTTTATTTCATGTCACATTTTGTCACGTACTGTTGCTCTTCATGACAGTGATGGTTCAACGGCTGCTGTCAGATCTAGCCAGTGAGCTCCAATTCGCTCAAGTTAGCTCAACTTGCTTTGCTCGGGGGCCATTTTTGCAAAATGACAGGAGGCCAGGGGCCGGTTAGAGAAGTATTTCACTGCAGTAGAAAGACACAAAAACTTTTGAAAGTGCTGCTACAGACCCAGAGAAATCAGAGAGTAAGGATGCTTTTGCTCAAGAGGGAAAAAACCTACAACTACCAGAATGCACTGTGCCACGCCAGACCAATAAACGCTCCCACTGGTGGGTGATGTAATGTGATTATGTCCAAATGGTGACTGGTAATAGATCGTTTGTCGACTGTAGACCCTTTTACAGCCAAGGTCACAGTGACGTCAGTTTGGTAGCTGGAGGCAAAACACAACTCTCCACCAAAGGCGACATAGGAGTCTTAAAATGTCATCTTGTTGTGTTATTGGGAGCCACAATGAAGGAGTCATGGCTCAAAACTTAAATTTTATCGGATACCAGCCGCCACAGCCTGTCAACAAAAGTGAAGACAACTATGGCTAAATATGATAAGACGCAAGGACTGGACGGAGGTGATCATTAAAAATGTTTGCATTTGCAGCTCACACTTCAAATCAGGTCAGGGAGAAAGTATTTCCTGTTGTAGGGATGAGTAACGTTACGTGTAATAAATGTTATCATGCTCACCTCATCAGAAGTGCACTCTGGCACTCGGAATGAATATTTCTGAATGCACCACTCGCATTATCTTCCTCCACTGTCTAAAACAAATGAACAGAACTTGCTAGCTAGCACTAGCTAAAGTTTGTGGAGAATTGTTTTGCCTCCAGCTAAGCCCCGCCCCCCCAAAAACGTCATTGTGTTTGTTAACAGTAAAAGTGCAGAATGCAGAAATGCAGAAAATGTGGAAGTACAGCCTGTAGTTCGAGCAACACCCCAAGAGCCAGCGATTACATAAGTTACATCAATCGTCAGAGTTTCATCGCAGGGCAAGGAGGGATATCGAGGCACTGGTTAGATGGAGGGAAGTTCACCACAGTTCATTCATACACACTGCCTACACTGTTTTCATAGAAACTGGTTAAAGTCGGAGAAGTATCCCTTTAATAAACAAAGAATAATATTTATCGGATAAAATAGATAAATGAGGCAAATTCCACACAGCAGTTGGGAATGTTTGTAGGATTTAAGGACATTCGGAGTCCATGTCGAGGGGTCCAGGGATCAAACAAGTTTAATTGGGAAGAGTTTTACGCACTCTGGCACCTTATTTACATTTAAAGTCCAAAAATTCCCAGTGTGTATCAATGTATCAAGGGCCAGATTTGTCTCACGGGCTGCAAACTGAGAATCACTGTTTTAATTCTTGCTACGCCAGGCTGCATATGCTAACTACCTAGCTGGCTAACTAGCTTAGAGGAGTTGTTGTGAGCTTGTTATTAGCAGTGTTAGCTAGGTACTGCTGGCAACCACACTGAAAGACTTTGTCTCTGTGAGTATCACCTTTGGGATCAGAGTTCTGCCAAGGTAACTCTAAATGAACCAGCTAGCTGATGCTGGTGATCGGTAATAATTCAAGCTCACAACCACACTTAGCTACTTAGCTAGCTAGTGAGGTAGCATGTGCAGCCTTGTTAAGCTGCACAGGAGATTTTAGTCTTGATGTCCGTGTACTGTGTTTAATTACAGCAGGTACCTCTGACTGGTTCATTCAGAATAACTTGGACAACGTTGTTGCTCTGGCTAACTGGAGCTAATTGGCTTAGTTTTACAGCAGCTAATGAGCCGTCTTTAGAGAGGCTGAGGGCTTTTGATTGGCTGATCATGAACACCATCATGACATAAAACATACTTTTGAAAAATGGCATTTATTTTAAAAAATCCATTGTCAAATAAAAAGGAACTCCAATAATTTCACAAAAAATATTTGATTCATAAATTGTTTAACTGTTTTTTAATATTGAACACTTTGGGGATCCATAATTTGGAAACTGATTTCATGAGTTTGTTGAACATGGAGCCCGCTCATAAACACCCACCTTCAGGTGATAATCTCCTCTCACACTTATGCCTACAATCCATTTATCGATTCAATCATAACCATGTCTATAATCAATGCATGTCTTCATTTAAACTCAGATTTTCCAAAGAAAGAAAACAATTTTTTATTTTTGATATAATATAAATAGCCATTTCACTCAGCACCTGGAGTCAGGATAGAAAGAGCAGAATTAATGACAATACAAAAATGAAATTAGGATTATTATAACCCCACTACAGTTGCACAGACTTCAGGGCAGATTGCTGGCATTAATATTCACTAATAACAGTTTAGAAACTACAGTCAATGAGTTCATGTGATTTAACCGTGCAGTGGAAGTGTCTCTTTCGAGTGCCTTTTGGAGGAAAGAAGCCTAATTAGCACACACAGTCAACTTCCTGTTAATAGATCCAACTCTTTATCCTGTGAATATTAAACTGTAAGGTGACAAGAAACACATTGGTATCACATTAGGCAACCTGTAAATAATTTATTTGAAACCAAACCCTGACAAAGTTGACTTGATGTTGTTGTGACTCTGGGATTATTATAGCACAAGTGTCATCAATAGGAAATGCCTGGAGACATTAATAAAGATTTGCCTTGTGCAAAAAAAAAATTGGAGATAGGCTGCTTTTTGTGGCATTAAACTGACATTGGTGTTGTGTAACAAGCAGTCAGTATTGGGTCATAGCATCAATGAACAGATCGGCGTAACGCTGTGTGTAACCACTGGAGGGCAGCCTTAGTGTGTGGAGATGGAGGGCAGAGAGACAAGCTGTTTAAACACTTTTTTGGAAGTGTTTAAAAGACAAATGATGACTTATGTCTTCTTTAACCTTTCATAACATTTGTCATGGGTTAGTTAAACAGCCTAAAGGTAGCCATTTTGTTGCTGGCTGAGCACATTGTTAACATAGTGAGGAGGAGTTACTGGTGACTCATGGAAAAACCAGTAAATTTGCCTTAAGCCGATTCTGAGGAAAAGCCTCCAGCTTCTTTAAAAAAAAAAAAAAAAAAAAAAATCAAAAGGCAAAGAAAACATAAGCATGAATTATTGTTTTATTTAAAAAAAAACATTGAAAATACAGCTCGTTTTATACATGACAGCCATATGTACAGGATATAAAACAAAGACAAAAATAGATCATTGCTGTTAATGAGTTAGCATCGAGGAGGGGAGATGATAGTATTGATTTTTGAAAGGCACAAGGGCTGAGTGTGAAGAGCTCTGTGTGACCCGAGTCACAGCCACATAACCTTTTAATGATGTCACCATCATTGCCAGGCAGCGTTCAAATCTCCAGTGAAAATCAGAAAGTAGTCCGACGTACAGCTGGACTCTTTGTTTCACAGCCCCAGTGTCTTTCTCAGGCAGAAGGCACCAGTTTATTGATTCACATGATCTAAAAACACTGGCTGAATCCAGATCTACCTTCACTGAACACTCCTTCTCCGCAAACTTTGCGGGAGATATGTCAAGTTCTGACATGTCTGACAGGAGGGAGCATTTTCTAAGCGAATACTGAAGATGTTTAGCGACGGCATCTACAGAAATGCTTCAATATTGCATCCACCTGGACCTTTTTATCTTAAAAAAGGTGACTTGGATTTGTATAAATTGGATTTCAGCAGCATTAAGTGTCAAATGAAATGCCTTCAAGTGTAATTTACAAACAAAAAACATCTCTTACCAAATTATACTCAAGGTCATATGTTAAAATTTGTATAATTTACAGCATTATACAAATAAAGATACAGTTTTAAACAAATACTGTACATTCTACAGTAAAGCACTTTACTAAAACAACAAAAATATACTATTAACAATAAGTTATATCGACTCCAGAGGGTTGGGGTAAACAGCTTTTTTATATTACACAATTTAGAGACCAACTTTTAGTGGTCATTCTGTTTTGAAAAGCTCAGTTTTCAAAAATATGTTCATTTGGTCAGAAAGGATTATGATTAGATTAACTGGTGACATTTGCAACAAAAGGAAAAACAAACAAAAAAAAACATAGTGGAAGAAGACCAAATAAGATCAGCACACTAAAAACTGTACATGTAACAATTAAAATACATTAACATCTACAAAGCGTTTTAAAATGATTGATACGAAAAGAGAAAGCTACCCCGAACAAACAAAACTATAAATATTTGAATATTAACAGTTCTATCAGAAGAAGTAATAAAAGTAGTAGAAATAAAATACAGTTGAATAAAATAAAAGGTGATGGAACTCAACAGACAAAGCTGCCGAGAACAAGTTTCAATTGAAACTAAAGAAGAACCTTAGTGAGTCTTTTCACAAGGAGGTAAAAACAAAAAAGGTGAATACAATATTTTAGTAGCAATGAAAGACAGGCCCCTTGTTCAGAAACAGATCCTGCAGCTCCCAGATCAGTCAGAGGTGGACAGATATTGTAGTAACTGAAATTTTAAATGACTGTCAGGGGGTAACACGCTTGTTAATCACATTAAGTGCAAAGCACATGAAGCAGAAAGGTATAAGTATGTAGATGAGATCTGGGATTAATAAATCAATTAGTTTGATGATTTAAAATGCATTCAGATATTTACATACTCATGTTGTTTTGGAGGAAAAATCATATCCAACCAAATATGGGCAATTCAGTGTATGAAAGTATGTTTAAAATAACAAAGCATAGCATATTAAATTTCATGACTCCTGCTTTGCTGTGCAGTTTTTACTTAAATTTCTGGATTCCAACGCCCTTCACAGCTCGAAAATAAATTTTTCACCCCTTTAGCTGGTAAAAGTTTTAAAAGCATTTTAGTTATCTGGATAAGGTTGAGACAAAGGCCACAAGATGCCGACAAATACCATTTCAACACGGTCAATATGCAAGACAAACACGGATAATTTACGATAAGCATCTAATAGAGTGCTGAAGAAATGATGGCCAACACAGGAATTGTCTTGTGGGATTTTCCATTGAATTTTGGATTATTGTAGATAATAATCTCTGTGGCAAACAGAACTTTATGATAAATGTTTAGTTCCGCAAGATAATCTTCAGGAATGAATAACACTTTGACGATTTTTGAAGCCTAAATGCAGTCACAAGAAGTATAAAGCTAACGTTAGGCTATTAACAAACAACACCACTGGCACGACTTCGATGCTGCCAATACAACAAGGCAGGACAGCCATGTTCTGTGTGATGACGTCCTGTGACCGCCTTTTTTGAGACACCTAAAGGCTTCAAAATTCACGAGTAGGGTATTTACTGACCTATTTGACATCGTAGAACACAACATTGTCTTTTAAGCTTGTGTTAACCACAGACATTTCAAAGGTGTAATCAAAAACCCATGGACTCAGAGATGAGAACAGGGAGTGCTAAAATGCTTTTCTCATTCCTGCACCACTCTATTTCATACCATTTTAAAAAGCTGCTGTGCACACTAACTGTATGGCTATTTTCTGGGAGCAGGGGAAACAACGAGGGCGACCTTTAAAAGCGAGAACTACAGCTTCAGACACTGAACCCTACAGTGTGGATGACATTGATGTCGTCTATGTGCTACTGACCTAACTGCACTGAGGCCCTGACTGACTGTAAACCACACAGCCTCAGCGCTACCCTGTTTACACACAAACAAACAGGTACAATAAACAAGGACCAATAAACTAGACACGTTAGCTCTACTGAAGGCTCTGGCGGCTGCTGCTTATTGAAGTCTAGCTCACTGATCCAAGCGTCTTGACAATCGTAACCTCACTGGCTCAAGTCGTGTTTTTTAGTGATAGCAGTTATTCTACTGGCCCGGTGGCTCCACAAGCAGCCACAGCACACCAATAATGGAGAGGGAGCAAGGAAGAAAACGGTTAAACCATTCTTCCAGTTAACGGCTTAAAAAAAACAGAAAAGAGAACTTCAAGAGGAGCACCGCAGTACTCTATGTTAGTCAGGTCCATTCAAAGCATGTGTTATAGGCAGATAAATATCTCCCAGAGGGCTAAGGCTAAGTACAGACAGACAGATTGAAACAGACACACGGGCCAGAAAGTGGCTCTCTCACAGTGTCTAGCCATCAAGTTAATCAGCCTCCAAGTCAGAGGTAAGATGTGTGTGGCATTTTCTTGCCTCTCCTCCCTTTAAACCCAGGGCTGCGTTCCAAGCCGCCTACATCGCAGCATTTGGCTGCCAGTTCAACCAGACTGCCAAAATAAGTGTAGATGCTTTGGCAACACTCCCCAGGTCTGCGTCAGTTTGTATCAGGGGCTGCTGCCTGCTTCCACATCACTGTCGTCAGGGGCGCCTTTGTAAATGGGGGTCTTGGTCTGCAGTGCGGGCTCGTATTTGCGTGGAGATGACTTTTTGGCAGCTTCGTTGCTGTTCCTGATACCATAAAAGAAGTAGATGGCGAAACCTGGAAGAGAGGCAACAGGAAGTTACAAAACAGTCACATGAATGTGTAGCACTAGAAATGAAAATGCTAAGTAAGGTTTAAATGTACCGATAAGCATCCAGACGGCAAAGCGGCACCATGTACCCACGTCCAGCTGCATCATGAGGTAGATGTTGACGAAAACACTGAACAGGGGCAACCAGGGAAGCAGAGGGACCTTGAGAGGACAGAAATGGAGGATGTTAAATAAAACACTTTTACAATCAACCTAGTTCTGCATTAGAGTAAATAAAAAAAATGGCATCTTAGCCACTCAGAATCACAAACAGTGTGATAAAACCACAACAAAGACAAAACAGAGAACTCTCTTCTCTGTAACACAAAGGATCTGTTCTCAGAGTTTGATCGTTACCTTGAAGGTGAGCGCCTCTTTGCTCTCAGGCTGCCTCCAGATGATGATGACACAGACGGCACAGAGCAGACTCAAGATGACACAGGGCGCCACAATAGATGCATGCCCGGCCAGCAGCTCTGGGAGACAGTTGGCCAGGAGAATGCACAGTACGGTGATAAAAACCGCTGCGAAGACACAAGAAGGAGAGAACGTTACTCATACTGGTGGCGGCAAGATGCAAATTATCATACACTCCTCTAATACGCTGTGTTTATCAGCGGAGTCACAACAAGCTCTATCTTTAGCTTCCTCCCAGACACACTTACAAATAATAGCAGTGGTGGCGTAGACAATGTGCCCAGAGGTCTGCGTTGGCGTCTTTCCGCTGGGGCAGAAGAGCAGCTTGACGGTGAAGGTCTCTTGGAGCGGCCTCTCCTCTGTCTCCATCCCGTACTCGTCACTGCTGTCCCCTCCACTTACAGCCACCTTCTCCCCTTCCACCAGCTCCACCAGCTTCTCCGTCTGGCTGGACGAACTCAGAGAGCCTGGCTGGTACCTGTGGAGGGAGGGAAGTGTGTCAGAGTAGTGTAACTAGAAAAATCACCCTCCAATAGCTAGAAATATTGGCTGCATACAAATACGGTCTATAATAAATTCACATCTTTTGTTGAGTTTAGTCTAATGCCAGTGTGAAAGTATTTTGGAACAAACTGGCTTCATTGATACTTGGCAATGACATTAGTGCAGCAGCTGCTAGAGAGTGTTTAACACATGATTACAACATTGAGAGTGTGCTTGTAGAGAATTAATAGGTGCTTACCTGAGGATGAGAACACAGATGGCCACTAGAGAGTACGCCAACAGAGTTCCAATGGACATGAGGTCAACCAGAGCTGCCAGGTCGAACAGGAAGGCCATCAGAGCTGTAAGAAGAAACTGATTTCTTAGAAAACTGACACTAAATCATGTCTGTAAAGTCAGGGAGACAAAGAAAGAAATGCTTTTATGGCTCAAGCTGCCTACAACATAAAAAAAACATAGCAGTATCTGTTTCTGCAGACTTTTCTTGGGAGTTATTGATCCTGAACTGACAGGCGTGCTAGACAGAGCTGAGGCAGGAGACAGAGCTGTGACCCTGGCAAACTATAAACAACAGCTCTCGACAGATTTGACAACACGGGATAGACACAGCAACGACTGTAACAAGAGGTTAAGATAAACTCACACGGAGAAAAAGCAGAAGACACAAACTGATAGTAAGCTTACCTGCAACAACACCAGAAGCGATGGTAGCCAGGAGAGGAGTCTTTGTGCGAGTGTTCATCCTGGACAGCATACGGAACAGCAGCCCGTCCTCTGCCATGGCGTAGATGACGCGGGGCATGGGGAACATAGAGCCTAGGAGACTGAGAGAAGATTAACAGTTAGTATTAAAGCTTTCCAGTGTTGTATAAGAGAACAGACTGTGGCAGGAAAACATTTTCCCTCCTTACCTGGTGGACAGAGCGCAGAGAGAGCCCACAGCCACGATGTATCTGGCGGGAGCCCAGCCGACGTAACTGAAGGCCTCTGGTAGAGGACTCTGGGTGTTCAGTTGGTAGTACGGCATCATGAGGGTGAGCGCGGCAGACACACCGAAGTAGGCGAAGAAACAGATCAGCAGAGAGGCGACGATGCCAATAGGGATGGAGCGCATGGGGTTCTTTGCTTCTTCACCTGAGGACAACAGAGGGAAAGGGATTAGTTGATAAGAAGCGTCTACATGAAACAAGGAGAACAGACACCCGATTGTGATTTGCAACAGGTGAGATTTTATGCTTGTCTCAAGATCCAGCACCTGAGTAAGACATGAAGGTCTTGACACAGTAGGTGAAAAAGTTACATAACACAACCGTCTTTTTTTTCTTACAGGAAACAGGTGTTGAGTCAGCCCAGCACTATTCAAACTGTTTATGTAATATAGCAAACACATTTTTAAAAGCCATTCTACTTTCTCGTGTAACCATAAGGGTCAACAAGAGCCCATGTCACAGAAAAGACGAGACTGCCTAGGTACCACTGTCATTCTCAGGAAGTGCTTGTGAAACACGAAAGACAGTTACATACAGCGAATAAAAAAGAAACCCAAGATCCTGATTATATGCATGTTTGAAATGACGTCTGTTTTTTTGTGCATACCAAACAAAAGTGTGGGATGCAAATTGAAATTCTTGAAGGGTTTTTGAGTCTCATCTCCATTTTCTTTTGTTCTGTGTCTAAGTGAGAGGGCTGCAGCCAGCAGCCGTCAAACAAGCTCCAGTGTAACCACTCAGGGCATGTTTGCACTGTTAACTTTCGTTGACTGAAAGAGCTTGTTTTTGCCACTGAGAGGCTCTGATTGTTATTGTAAGTGTCAGACAACACTATGTAAAGATCCCGACAGAGATAGACCTTTTTGTTAAAGAATAAGATCCTTTTTGTTTAACCAGGAACAGCCTCGAAATTGCCATCATCAAACTCACCAGGCTCCATTTAAATAAACAGTAACCCAAGTGTGTATAGAGCCAACATATGTCACATCTAATTGGGTGGATAAGGGGTTTATTTTAACCAAACCAGAGCTGGTGATTATTGGAACAGTGGAAAGATGAACCAAGATTTTGGTTTTGTGAGTTTTGTGACAGTCTGGTGGGTTTGGTGATGGCAATTTTGGGGCTGTGTCTGGTTCAACAAAAAGGATCTCACTCTTTGTAAGGATACTTTCTATAAATGTTCAGAGTTAGACCTCTTGGTTAGACACTTACAATAATAATCTGACCCTTTTAGTGGATGTAAATTGACGGTGCAAACATGTTCTGTGATTGCCGACTGTAGCCCTCTCACTCAATACTGGACTGGAATTTCAAGCATTAAGCACTCGCTTAAGACACAAAAAAATTTTAGAAAAATAGGGTCCAGGTTACCATTTATGCAGCCATTTTTGTGACATCACTTATCATGGAAATATTAAAACCACTCACTTGTTGTTGCGATGCAGTCAAAGCCCACAAAGGCGTAGAAGCAGGTGGCAGCACCAGACAGGACGCCAGCCAGGCCAAACGGCGCAAAGCCGCCCGTGCCAAATTCCTCCTCGACTCTGATTAAAAGAAGAACGACACATTGTTTAACAATCAGGCATAGATAAAACAGTAAAACTACCAAGTTCATTTGCAGGCAGCTGTCATATACTGACTTCGCAGGTCCACTCCTGTTGGTGGCGTTTATGAAGCTGAAGTAGTCTTCCTTCGTCAGGTTCCAGTTGGCCGTGTTTCCCTTTACAAAGCCAGAGATGATAACGAAGCCCAGAACCACCAGATTGATGCCTGTGAAGATCTTATTCACCAGCGCTGACTCGTTCACACCAAAGGCCAGAAGTCCTGAGAGGAGAGGAATGTAACAGAGAGAAGGAGGAATTAATATTTCAGCACCAATAACAACATGTCCTGCTAAGTGGGTGGATGTGTTTGTACTTAATTACGTCCAACATACCATCAGTCAGCGACACTTATCATTTCTTTCTAACACGGCTACTGGCATGCCACCCTAGCTGCCAAATCAGTGTGACAACTGTTCCGGTTGTTATGTAATGTTTTTAATACAATGCTAACAGTGGGTGTGTTAACGTGGACTGCAATAACTACACTGATGGCTTAACTTTTAATACACGCATTACAAAAAAAGTATGCAGCTTCGTCTATCTCACAATCCTTTATCACAGGTTTCATTTGTCTGAGTTGCTCACGATAAGTTACTGTGTGAGGTAAAGTGGAGAAAATATCCCAAACATAGCGAACACTTAAACTGATTATGATTTTTTGGGGGGCCCCTGTCCACAGCAGTACACTGCTTGGCTTCTGTGCTGCTCATATTTAACCTCTGTCCCCCCAGAGAACATTGTGACTCCCACATTGGGGACCACTGACTGATGATGGGCAGTGCTAACTCACCGGTGAGCAGCAGGACCAGGATGAGAGCGAACAGGTCGGGGTACTCTGCCAACACATTCCCAGGCACCCTCATTGTCATTGAGGCTTTGAAGAAGTCAGAGATCTTTTGCTCAACCAAGCTGTCAAAGGTTGAGCTCCATGCCCTGGCCACACTGGCTGTACCTGAAAAAGAAAACATGCAAACTGTCATAAGCAAAAGATGTGGTGAGGTGACATCATGTCTGTGGTTCACTTTTTGCACGCTTAAAAATGCCCAACGAAACAAAACATCAAAAGCTCACCTATCACATAGGAGAGGATGAGGTTCCACCCTGTGATGAAGGCCCAGATTTCTCCAACCGTCACATAGCTGTAAAGGTACGCAGAGCCTGTTTTGGGGACACGGGCGCCAAATTCAGCGTAGCACAGGCCAGCCAACATGGAGGACAGAGCGGCGATGAGAAAGCAGAGGACAATAGCAGGTCCGGCCTTTTCTCTGGCGACCTCGCCAGCGAGGACGTAGACACCAGCGCCGAGTGTGGAGCCCACCCCCAAGGCAATGAGGTCCAGGGTGGACAGGCAGCGAGCGAATCGGGTCTCTTCACCAGAGCAGTCCAATGCCCGGCGACGCAGCAGGGTCTTGCCAAAGTTGGTCAGCTTGCTGGCCATATTTGCTGTGACTATGTGTGGGCGAGGAACCAGACTACGTGTTTTAAATCCTTCTAGTGTGGGTGTGTGTGATCGACACAAGCTTACAGAGAACACGTGTGACTGGTCTGAGAGTAGTACTTTGAGCAGATGGGCAGGTAAACCGAGGACTTGTTTATTATTGGTCCTTTAGTGTAGGTGTGACAACTTTGGCAACAGTGACTGGAGCACGTAGAGAACAGGAAGCAGCAGGTCTGTGGTTACGCTATTTTGTAGCAGCAGATTAGGACCTGTGAGAAAAAAACAACAAAAAAACAAGAGCTCAAAACAGGGAACTATTCAGTAACTGCCAAAGCTTACATTTCAAACAGCTCTGTGTTTGGCACTGTGCCGTGGGATTATAACATAATATCTTTCCAGAGACAAGGTGCTCAAACTGCAGGGAAACCAACCACAAAATACTCAAAGAATGAGTCACCTCAACACTGTCTGTCCCTATTGTCTGCTATACAAATCAACTTGACAACTTTGTTGCACCGGTTGTCAAATCTATTTGTCTAGTCTGACTGTGAGTCAGGTACAATTCAAGCAGACCCAGGTAGCACCAGCGATTTTGGAAACATTCCTGAAATAACACTCTCCTCTTCAGCAAAAAGGAGAGTGTCAGTGGGCAGGTTTGGAGAAACAATAAAAAAAACACACCTCACTACAAGAGAACCTGTATGAATACCCCTTACGCAACTTCCAGGAATTCATGCCTCCACCTCTCACAGCATAGTAGCACATCATGAGACGCAGTAGTAGGGCACAGAGATCTCATGAAGGCTTAAGAAAACTTAACGCTACCCTACTTAATTTTGCCTCGACAAATAAACCTGCCGTACTACACACCCCTATAAAAACACAAGTACACCTTGTCTAATTCCCTGCCACTCCCTTACTGCGAGAAAGAGCACGCTGTTATTTGTTTTAAGTTTTTTCAAGAGACAGAATTTGACAGCGAGAAGCCTGGGAAAGCCAGAGGCTGTGAAGGAATGATACTGTTCAATACTGCAAGCTAATATCAACAAGGGAGAGGAGGACAGCGTGAACCAGGAGCTTGATAAGGTGAACCAGCTGCACTGGGAGAAGGTTGATATACAAATCAAGTACACTGCATCTATATAAACTGACCCTTACCCTATTTAAAAACTACAAGAGAAGTTAAATAGCTAATAATTTACCCCAGAAATTGAATTAATGGGGTAGTTCTTTAATAACTTGATATAAAAATGCAGAACGCGGTTATATTGTTTATTAATCATGCATTATCAATGATTAAAAAAAAATAGACAAAACCATCCTCAAGGCCAATGGCAACACGTCACTACTAACGATTACACCAGTTTCTGCAAAACATACTGTGTGCCCACACACATACACGCATGAACGGTTCGCAACAGGCCAAGGACACTTAGCTCAGCACACCTGACCATGACAGATACAATGTTTTTCTGTTTGTCTATGGAGGCGGTCACCTCCCTGGATGGATCAACACACACACACACACACACACACACACACACACACACACACACACACACACGGACAAGTTTGACACAAATCACTAATTGAATGTTACTTCCAAAGGCTGCAATGTAACACACAACACAAACACGCCCGCAGAAAAAAAGTTCAATGAAATACGGGCCAGTTCCAGCTGCCTAAAAAGTATTTGTGACGATGGGCTCCACGACATTTACTTGCACAGCTTCCTGATTTGTATTGGTAATGGTATGTAAATATTTTATCTGTAAATGTTGTTGTGTAAGATTGTATTTACTGAGGAAGCTGCGCAGAGAGAAGTCCAGGTGCAAACAAGTTGGGCAGGTTTACTCCACCCCAGTGAAATGTACGACCAACAATGTTCCCACTGACTGACTCATTTAGGTTACATACATACAACTTATCTCTGTACCATAAGCCTAATATGAATATGTGGTAACTTCTGAGTTAATAATTTCTTCAGACAGAGAGCAGATATGTTGAACACCATTGAATCAGGGCTGTCTTGGAGGGAGGTGTAGTTTTGAAGGGTTAAAAATGTCACTAAATAAATTTGACTTCATAACTTTGGAACATTCAGATGTCCATGAAAATGACAGTACCACACTGAGACCAAAGCTTTGCACGTTGAGTGTGTGTGAAGACTTGAGTGTGAATGCTTGTCATTGACAATACAACATTTGTCTTGGTCAAGACAGCTCAGTGCATCCTGTGTTATCTTACTACATGTTTTCACATGTTTTTATTGTGGTGTGTGCTGACCGAGTTTGATTACTTGCTGCTTTCTGCAGCCTCACGGGGATCATTCAGTCTTTTATTTAGGTAGAGTAATAGAGTAAGGTGTAGTGATGATTATCAGTGCCCATGTGCTAGAAATGCCAGATTACAGTAATTTAATGTTGCAGCACATTGTTATTTGAGGGAACACATGTCAGTGCATGTCAGTCTTGGCAAAGCCATGTTGCTAAAGTCGAGGGTGAGGCAAGCCTCTTATCTGCTAAATACTACACTATTCTTATGACTACTACAGCTCACAGTGTTATGACTAACTATTAACAGATTGGTAAAACGGACCATGACAATCATTAACTTGCCCAAGTTTGCATCATAAAGGAAATCCAGCGATCTGAAAGGGTGACTATACATAAAAGATCACTTTTTGTTTGCATGAAACATTAAAATAATAGTTAATACCTTATGTTAACATTTGAAAACCACATCAAATGTGCATGAACATTAAGATGGCACCCTGTGGCCATGTGTCCCTGTGGCCGGGAGACTGCTGCTAAATTTGGTTATTGCTGGATAGTATTTACCAGGAGTTTTCAAAGCTCGGTATCCAACCATGATTTTAATGATATTAACATTTGAAACAGTGATACTAACCATGGGAATTTCACTTTATTTGATCATGAAACTCTTAACCATTTCATCTCTAGATTATTCCAATGATTTGGAGCAATTTACAGGAAACCACACATCTATATTTTAATGCTGTATACTAATAACAGTAACCTGATTTTTTTTAAATGGTACAGAGAGGCGCAGCATCAAAGGCAACGCTGCACCAAGTCTGAAGCTATCAGTGCAACGATACCTGATTCCTCTGTGTCAGTGCTGAGAAAGAGGACAGGCATTACAGACCTATCAGTCACTTCACTGCTCAGGCAGCAAAGAGAAGAAGTGAAACACTAACCCAGCGACATAGAGAGGCCGACCGTGTGGCACAGTGTGAGTGTGGTTGTCTACCTGGATCAGAGATTGGGGGAGAACTTCCATTTCACACTTCCTACCTCCACCAGGGAGGGTATGGTTTCAGTTCAGTTTGTCTGTTTGTGAGGATTAACTGCTGCGATTTTCAACAAACTAGATGGAAGGGTGTAGCATGGGCAAAGGAAGAACACATTTAGTTTTGGAGCAGATCTGAATCAAGAGGCAGATACACAAATTATTTTTCACTTTCATAAACAGTGCCGTGGGGCATTTGGCCTTGGCGGAGCTCTGTGTCCTTCGAGTGCCGTTCTGGTTAAATATGTGACAATAAAGACGAGGGAGCAAAGAGTTCCAACAGTGTTTCACAGAATTTATTACTTGTTGCACTGTCAAGGTTTTTCTGACTTTGTGTCCAGTTAAAAGTGACTTAACGTTCTGCTTCAGGCAAAACATTCTTGCTCCACTTACCTACTTCTGGAACTTAATGATACATAACTCAACATGAAGCTGTTATTGCCAGATTTGCTTTTATTTCTCTTGCATTTCTCACACTATGGGAAGAAGTTCCAAGAGATTGGAAATGACAAATTAAATTAAAGATATAGAGTTTTTAAGGATTCGTAGACACCTTGAAGCAATATGCAAAATGTGAAGTGGCCCATCAACACAGCTTGTATTTCTGAGAACTTCTGGGATGTAAAATACAATGAAAATGCGAGACATAACATCACAACCCCACAAAGTCCCAAGTTGAGTTTATGTTAACTTTGAGGTCACACGGTGCATTACACGATTCTAAACGGAAGAAGAAGAAAGTCTTCCAGCTGTACATTCATGTTATGGTCTAATTTTGGCCTTTTCTTTTTCACAGCACACGGGATACATGCTCTCACGATGTTTCAGTACAATGACAATATTCTATTAATACCACAAAAACAACATATCCTATTTTATCAAAGTTGTCCTAGTCTTACCATTTCAAAAGAGAATATCCTGCCTAGTACAGTTAAGTGTTGGGAGAACAAAGACAAACACTGTCAAACAATGAAATACAAACAACACAGAGAGCACCCAACAATAAACACTCAGCTCTCTGAAGACTGATGGGAAACTGGTACATGGCAGATATTCTCCCACTCCCCACTTGGTGTGACATTCCAGTAGCATTTTCCACTCACACACCAGGAACTGAGATCTGAGGGTGTCAATGTTGTATCAATAAACATTTATTACTAATGCTGTGCCCGGCTGGCTGTGATCTCCACGGGGGTTTGAACTAACACCGCACATACCTTCACTAAGCAGGACAAAAGTGCTCAACTGAAATTATGTAAACTGTAAAGCTGTAAAACCACTCAGAGAATTTAACACTGGGACAATTTCATTCTTGAGTGAAAATGAATACAACAAAAACTCAACCAGATTAAAAACTGTCTTTGTATTTCATGTCTGGAGACACCCTTGATGTTACAAAAAAAAAGCAAACTTGCTGGCTGTATGACCTTATCTAAGGGTGATCTCATTAAACCGATGCTAGAGCCACCCCTGCCCCAGTCAATGCCTTAGTCACGTCAGCTAGTCTTTAATCTTTTCCTTGTGGTTTTCACGAGGGTGCCGGTTTGTGTAAGTGGGGCAGATTTACTGTATGCCAGGTTGCACGGAGGTGTGTCTCATGAATGTGCCGCTTGCCACGTAACAACCCACATGAAAAGACCAGTGTGCTGCCTGCAGCCATTTTGTTCATCTACTTAAAATGACTAAAC